GAGCAGTGTTGTATCTGCAAGGCCATAGCCTCTGCGCTCCATGGTGCATCTAAGAACAGGTGTCCCCGGGTCACACAGGGAGGGGCCGTCACAGGAGGCCTTTCAATGCCCGCCCACTGGACACATGTGCTGGTAAGCAGCCCAGGGGAGGGGGGAGGGGAGGGGAGCAGCCTATCCAACTCCAGATCCTCCATCCTTGTCACTGCCCCTTAAGGTGGCAGGCGAGTGGCGGCTGGAGGTGTGTGGGGCTGGGCCGTAAGGAGGGGCTCCCCATTATTAGCAGGACCCCCGGGCAGAGTTCTGGACTCTGGGTGACCCTCCCTTTTTTGGAGTCAGTTCTAGATTCTTAGGGGCTGAGCAGTGGTCCAGGGAGGACCTGCGCCTCCCGCGCTGCCTGGGCCTCCCCTGGGGATGCTGGCGAAAGGCCGAACCCCAGGCCCCTGCGAGACCCCAGGGGCAGGGCCCGGGAAGCCGACTCTAATACCGAGGCCCCAGGTGATGCTCCCAAATCCGAACGCTTGGCCCTGATGTGGTTTCAGGCCAGGGTGCAGGGAACACAGTTGCCATCTCTTGTCCTCAAATCTGCTTGGACTTACCTGAAAAGCAAAACTCAAAATTCTGTCCCCAAAAACGTGAAGCCGAACGAGGCTTGTCCCTGGCGGTTTTGCAGAAGGTCACAGCTTTGGCCTCTGAGCCTCTGCTCGGGTTTGCTGTGTGGTAAGATTTTTGCAAAACAGCTGCTTCTGAGCTGTAATTCCTGCTTTCAGGAGCTTAGCAGCTTCGGCGTCAGCCTACGGGCTGCTGTGCTCACGGATGATGCTCGCTCACTGGCTGCACTCCTCGGTCATATCCTGCAGGTGCAGGACACCCCGGTGCCAGCCCCTCTGGCTCCCTGTGGTGGTGGTGGGGGGGTGGGGGGGGGGACGGAGCAGCTGTCCAGCAACCACTCCCGGCCCATCTGGCAGATGCCGCGCCTTCTCTGAATGGGAAATGCCACCATGTCCCCTGGTTTCCACTCCCCTGGCCGGCGGACCTGTCCCTGGGAGGGTGACCGGCTTTGACCCCGCTTTTCCTCAGAAAGGGAAGCCCAGGGTCACAGCCAGGAGCCGCGAGGGCCCCGACCTCGGGGTTCAAGTCCAGCCTCTGCCCTTTACGAGCAACTTGACTTCGCCTTGGCTTCCCTGAGCCCCAGTCTCCCAAACTGTAAAATGGGGGAAATTAGAGTTCTACTGCGGAGCGTTGTCCAGGAACACGACCCTGCTGATAGAGCCCTTGGCCTGCTGCCTCGCCAGCTGTCCCTCCCACCTGCGTCAGCTGCTTGCCTTCACCTGCTCACCCGCAGGCCTAGGAGGAGCGCACCCAACTTCCTCCAGCAAGCTCCCTGCCCCCTAAGTTACTTAGTCACCCCCTTGCCCCACCCACAACCTCCTCAGGAACCCAGTGTACGGCACGGCTTTGCACCCACAGTCTTGGCAGCATTTCAGCAGAAAGAACGTTCAGGGGTAGGCAGTGTGGCTGAGCTGACCTCACCTTCACCCGGCTGTGGGCTGCGAGGCCAGGTTGGAGGTGTGGCACCCATCCCTGTGGGGCGGGGTGCACACCCTCAGCCAGCCCTGGCTCGAGGGGTGAGCCCATCTGCAGACTCTGCAAACAAGATGGCCATTCAGGACAGATGAGGACATGTGTGTACGTGGGGGGCAAGTACAGCAGGTGGAATTACCCTAGTAATTATCACCTCCACCCTCCCAGCCACAGGGACACCCACATCCCCGGAGAGAGGGGGACACAGGGTTAGGGGAAGAGCAGGCTGGGGAGGGAGTGGGGGAGACCAGGGCTGGTACTGCCCCAGGACTTACTGTGACCGGGAGGTCACTCCAGCTCCGTGAGTGATCTCCTTACCCAGAGGCGTGTCTCAGGAGGACGTTACCTCGCGGAGGACTGACGTATGTACAAGACCCCCGGTAGAGGGCTGGTTAGGGAGAGGGGGGGGGGGCAGAGGGGCCGTGCGTACTGGTGGCTGCCTTCCAATGGTGCGTCCATCAACTTCACACAGACCCTGTCCCAGGTTTGCAACATGCCAGCATGGCGCCCTCGTGTAGTCAGATGGACACCCCACTGCCTGCATTATCCAGGTAATCATGTCGGTCTCTCCCTGTTCCTCTCCCGGTCCCGGCCCAAGCCCTCCTCCCGGCAGCATGTGCAGGGTGGGTCCTGCCCACTGGTTGGAAGGAAACAAGGAGACCGACACTTCAGCCTGCCATGCCCTGGCCCCGTCAGCTCTCACCGCTGTCTCTGGCTAGAGCGCTGAGGCGGGGACTGTCTCCATGTGGCAGGATCCCCGTGGGGGCCTCAGAGCCAGAGCCACTCGTCTGGGCTCCTGACTCAGGCATTTATTAACCACTAGAGACGCGGTGCACAAAATTCGTGAATGGGTAGGGTCCCTAGGCCTGGCTGGTGATCAGGGCCCATCTGTGGGGTGACTGGCGGGGTGATCGGGGTCCCTCACTCGCACCCACCTTGGCGGACCTGGTGCCGCCTGCTCGCCGGTCATCTCCCTCTGTGGGGCAACCGGCGAGGCCCCCCCGCTGGCATCCGTCTTGGCTGGCCTGGGGCCTGCAGGCAGCTCCTGCGTTGATCATCTGCCCTCTGGTGGTCAGTGTGCATCATAACAGCCAGTCGGTCCACTGTTGTCAATTTGCGTATTAGGCTTTTATAATATAGGATGACGTCTCCTGCCGGAAGTGACCTGGAGCCTCATTTACCGGCTCCAGGAAGCGGAAGGCTCCTGCCTCTCATGGGCTGTGAGGAGGATGCAGGCAGGTGTCCGGCCCTGGTTCTGCTCCCCACAGGGCAGCCCCAGGCTAACAGCAACTTACAGCATGTGGTCTGAGCAGGCACCACCCCTCCCTACCACCCCCCCATAAACAGGGCCATACGTGGGTGCCGGGGAGGTGGGAGTGGGAAAGGGGGGGCAAGATGTGGAGGGCCATGTTGTGTAAGACCAGGAAACGGATGCATATATATATATATATTTTTTTTTTAATTCTCACTGAGGACATTTTTTTCCATTGATTTTTTTTTAGAGAGTGGGGAAGGGAGAGACAGAAATACTGATGTGAGACACATTGATTGGTTGCCTCCCACATGCCAGAGTCTGCAACCCAGGTACGTGGCCTTGATGGGAATCGAACCCGGGACCCTTCAGTCCGCAGGCCGATGCTCTATCCGCTGAGCCAAACCAGCCAGGGCCAGATGCACATTTTCCTGCATCCAAATCGAGCTTTTACATGGGAGCTGCAGGGACCTGTGTTATCTCTACCCCCACCACACGGCCCAGGGGTCTCGGTCTTCTCCAATCGGAGGAGGAGCGGGCAGCTCACAGAATGGCCTGAGGGCACAGATGTTTGGGATCAACTGAGAATATGTTTATTTAAAAGCAATTTTAAATATTAAAAAAAGTAGAAATGAACACATACAGTACTGAAAAAACACTGTCACATTAAATACACGTGAACGGACAAGAGTACTGATGTCCGAGGGAAATGTCCGGGTGGGAGTCGGGATTTACCGAGTGGTCCGTGGGAGGCTATACAACAGGCTGGAGTCCTAGGCAATAAAAAAATAAATAGCATCGCTGTTCAACAGGAAAATAAGACACGCTATTTGCAGAACATACCGTTCCCCTCTGGGGGGAGAGAGAACTCATTAGCTATTTTTTTCCCCATAAGGTTCCATACCTTCAAAATACTATCTCATGTACAAAATTGCAGATAGTGGCTCACTGAGTTTCAGAACAATGATCAGATATCAACTCAACTAAGACCAGCAGAGGCGCCCCAGGGTCAGCGGGCTGGAGAGAGCTCAGATTCCTGGTGGGAAACGGAGGCAAACTCGAAAGGAGAAAGGGTGTGAAAAACGCGTTCACGTTGCTGGGAAGGGGAAGAAGAGCAGACACGGATTCCGCGTCATCTCAGACATCTAGTGTGTGTGTGTTTTTTAAGAAGCCAGTTATTTTGAGATCAGTTAAAACACTGTAGGCTGCAAAGATGAGTTTTTTAATGCAACTGAAATCGTGTAACTGAACCGGGACGCTGAGGGGCGTGGGAGGGTGACTTCCTGCCCTGACACCAGTGTGGTCTCCGTCCTGAGGCTGCAGACACCGCCGGCCACACCCCAGGCCCCTGGCCGCGGGAGTCACAGCTGAGGGGGCGGCAGGCCTGCCACGCGGTTTCCTAACCCAGTGGCTGCCCCAAGCTCTCTTGGCGACCATGTGCGCGGGACTGAATTCACCGGCGCCGGCGCAGTGACGGTCAGTGACGGCTTTCCCTAAGGGCTCGGGAGGGATTGTGCTTCTGCGAAATGAACACGACTCATTCACTGTCAAGATGATCTGCTTAGGAAAGCTGTTTCCTGTGCGCTTTGCCAACAGAGCAGTTTAAGCCAATGCGATGGCAGAACAACACACGGGCCGGTCAGGACTCAGCCCCACCGGTGGGGGAGCGAACCTGCTGTATTCTTTTCAAATTCCTGACTCACGCGAAAGCCCGGCGCAGGCGCAGCGTTCCTGCGGGTCTGACCCACGCACTGGGTGAGAAGGAAACCGACAGGGGCCTCATGGGGGGAAGAGATTTCCCCACAGTCGGGTGACAGCAGCGCCAGGACCTGGGTGATGGGCTGACTTGGAGGTGACGTGTCTACCGAACAGGGCTTGGGGCTGGGGACTCCCTACGATCGGGGTGTAACCAAGAGCCAGGAGGAAGAAAAGGTCGGTTTCAGCACCTGGTTCGACGGTGGGGAGACCGAGGGCAGGGTGACTTCTAATCCGTCCTCCTCCTGACTAACCCTGAAGGGTTTAAATGTGTCAGGGACAGAGCTCCGAACATACTGTAGATGGACGCACGAGATGCTTTCACACGGGAAGGGGGCTAATTCATAACATGACGGGGAGAGCCACACGCGTGAGAGAAAGCCACGGGGCTGACTAGACACAAACATCGTCGCAACCTTATCATCTCTGCTTTTAATGGCAATCAGGTTAAAGTGTGCAGGCCACCGGCTCCGCGGTCCTTTACGGAAGGCAGGCTCCGGAGGCGTCTAACGCATGCACGGCGAGGAGGCTGAGTTCCTGGCAGCCCTCGGGCCTGAAAGAGGAACGTCACCGAGGGCATCAGCTTCTGTCCGAATCGTCATGAAGGCTACGTCATCTTTGCATAATGAGGTAACGTCCCGGGCGGGCACTGCTCCCGGGACGTCTGAGTCCACTGGCCGACCTGCGTGCCCCCGAGGCTGGGGGCGTGACTGTTCTGCTGAAGGGATCACACTCACGTTTAACCGAGCACTTGCTGTAATAGATGCCCGGTGGGCGCTGGAGCTGTAAACTGTGAGCACAGACTGCAGGCGGCCTGTCGGAGCTCAGTCTCCCCAGAAGACAGGCCGCCCGGCGACCGTGCTCGCTCAGTAACGGGGAGAACGCCGCCGCTGGGCACAGTCCATGCTGTGCCTTTGGGTGCAGCTGAGACCACTTCTGTGTGAAAAGCCGGCGGTTCCTAGGCTCCTGCTCGCTTGGAAAACGGCACAGAGAGAGATGTAGGTGCTAGACGCCAGGATGGCTTTGGCAAACCAGGAAGACGCCGGTCCCAGGCTCCCATTAATACTGGCGAAGGCGGAAGATAACAGGGCATTTATTTACAACACACACCACGCTCCCTCCTGGGCGCCCCGGGCGGGTCAGGTTCTGTAACAGCAGCTATATACACGTGTGCACAGGGCGCCGCGGCGTCAGCCATGAAGGGTGTGGACAGTCTCAGGTTCTCCTTCTCGCTAGTCAGACAGGATGTGAACAAAGGACACAGGAAAGACCCCTTTCCTTTCGGGCTCTCCCTCGATGTGGCCGATCTGGGGGGAGAAGCAAGAGGCGTCAGGTGGAGGCAGGCCCGCTGGGCCAGCGCCCGGCAGCCCGCGGGAATCCTCACTGTCTACAGCAGTGGTTCTCAACCTTGGACACTCACACAACCTCTCTGTGCCTTGCCTTGCTGCCTGCTAACACATGAGTTACTCTAAGCAGGAACTGGGCATCGGGAGCTGGCAGCTCTCAGCATCCCACTAGAGCAGTGGTCTCAACCTTCTGGCCCTTAAATAACAGTCCCTCATGTGTGACCCAACCATAAAATTATTTTTGTTGCTACTTCTTAACTGTAATGTTGCTACTGTGATGAATCGTCCATGTAAATATCTGATATGCAGGATGGTCTTAGGCGACCCCTGTGAAAGGGTCGTTTGACCGCCAAAGGGGTCGCGACCACAGGTTGAGAACCGCTGGTCTACAGGCAGGGCACTACGCTCAGTGAGAGTGTCAGTCAGAGGGAGACAAGCACCACAGGATCGCTCGCATTTGGGAAGTCAAATGAACAAAACTAACAAAACAGACACAGACTCAGAGATGGAGAGCGGGCTGGCAGCTGTCAGAGGGGAGGGTTGGGTGGAAAAGGTGAAGGGACAGAGCAAACACATAAACAAACAAAACACTCACAGACACAGACCACAGTGTGGTGATGCCAGAGGGAGGGAGGCAGGGGAGGCAGAGAGGGGGAAGGGGGTAAAGGTGATGGAGGGAGACCTGGCTTGGGGTGGTGGACACACAGGTGGGGGAGAAACCAAGAGGCCTCGAGCGTTAGAAACAGAATGAAATGTGTGCTCTTAGGGGCTCGCTGCTCTCCCTCTGGGCGAGCGGGACCCAGCTTGCTCAGCCTCCTGCCTGTAACACGGGCTGAAACACCCTTCCCTTGGCTGCTTGTGAGATGACAGAGAACGCCCCGCCTGGGAGGGCTGCTGTGGACTGAGCCTGTTTCCTGGCCGCTGTGGGGGAAGATGTGTGAAGGTTCGAGAGCACTGTGGCCCGACAGGTTCCCCGGCTGCTGCCTGAGCCTTGGCCTGTCACCTGCAGAAGCTTCTACCTGTTATGTCTTTGGGAGCTGATTACGGGAGGTCCGTCGTGGGAAACATAACAAGACCTACACGTGGGCTCCGATGACAGACAGAGGGAAGGGGCTCTGAGAGCCCGGCCAGGCCACCTGTCGGTCCCTCCATGAGGGACCCGCAGCACAGAGGGCCTGGAGCACGGCTGTGTCCAGCCCACGGCAGCCGAGCACGCAGGCTCGGAACTGGCACTGCCCGCTGACCTGCCACACGCCTCGGGCAACGTGCTTCCTAGAGCTCTGGGTTTGCACCGGGAAAATGTGAAGAATCCCCCAGGTGTGACCACGGCTGAAGCGCATCCCACGTGAACTCCCTGACCCACAGCTGCTCTGGCAGGTGAGACAGGGACAGATGGTCCCCACCAGGAGGGCAGGGCCCCGCGGGTGCAGCCCACGCCTGAGGGAACCAGGAGGGGAAGGAACGGTGCGGGTACGTACCCACCACTCCTGGTCCTCCTCCCCGGTGACGATGATCACCTCGCCCTCAATGAAGGTCAGCTCGTCTTCGTTGTCGGCCTGGCAGTCGTAGATGGTCTTCACGCGCCTCACCTTGTTTTTCCCCTGCGGCACAGAGACGGGCTGTTAGCCGCCAGGCCTGACCAAGGGAGCACAGGGCTCGCTGGCCGTGGGCAGGGGCGGGACCTCCCTGAGCCTCAGTTTCTCCGCTGCCATGGGCTCCGTGTACCGAGACATCTCAAGATGCCACAGTCCCTGTCCCTTCCCCTGGCATCAGGGGAGAGCCCGGCCCGGGCGAGCGGGCATCGGCCATCACTTTCACCACGAGGGCAGGGGACAGTCCGGCTCCACCAGGGACACAGCACGCCCCCCCCCCCCCCCGCAGGCCAGGATGACGCAGAGTCTAAAAATGGATTTGGGAAGCATGATGCAAAGCACATCTGCAGCTTCCGCCACTCGATGTGCAGCGCAAACACTTCCCGGCTTCATGCGAAGCAGCGTCAGCAGGAGCTGGCCCGGCAGCGGGCACTTCCCCAAAGCTCTGAGGTTTGACCAACTTGACTTGGGCTCTGATCTGTTGAACTTCCAGTTCTTTGCAAACAGGAAGATGGAAATGGGGAAATGACCTTGCAGAGGACGCGCTGGGCGCCCAGCACAGTCAACAGTCAGTCACAGAAAGAGCGCCTTTCCTGCGGTGCCTGGTTTCTCCCTCCGTGGCCTGCTGACCCCGCTCCTGCTGCATGAGCCCCCTCCCCCACACCCCGGTTTCGGACCCACCGTGTTGATCTTCCTGGGCAGCGGCACGGGCATCTCGGGCGTCAGGTCATTGGAGTCCTCGGAGGCCTGCTTCTGGATGGCGTCGCGGGCCGGCACGTTGGGGGAGAGATCCACCGAGTGCGACTTCGGGGCGATGTCGGTGGGCGGGGCCTTGGCCAGCAGGTCCGCCAGCTGCGGTTTGGGAGGCAGGTCCTTCATCTGTGGTTTGGGGGGCAGGTCTGAGAGGTGGGGCTTGGGGGGCAGGTCGCCCAGCTGAGGCTTGGGGGGCAGTTCTCCTGGCTTAGGTGGCAGATCTCCGATTTGGGGCTTGGGCGCCAGCTCGGTGGGCTTCGGGGGCAGGTCTCCAGGGGGCTTCTGGGGTAGGTCTGCCAGCGGCGCCGATTTCTGGACGCCTTCGGGCGGGATGCTGGCCTTGTCCAGGGAGAGATGGTGGCTGGTCTCGGTCTTCCGGAGTGCCACTGCGGGAACAAGCCAAAGAGGGGGGTCACAGGGCGGACAGAGGGGCACCTGCTGAGCACGACCCACGTGAGCACCTGGAGCTCTTGTTAAACAGACAGGAGCGGGAGCCTGGAAGCCTCCCACGTTACAACTCATGTGTTACGCTCAGTGACGTAGGGAAGGATGTCCAAACGAGCCCACGATTAAAAAACCCCACAACCATGAACAATACAGATGAAAGTCGGAAAGTACAGAGTTCAAAGTTCCCGAAGTCCATCACCTAACTGTAGCCATTGCAAATATTTTTGTATTTCCTTTTTGACTTTTTAGTGTATTTTCCAGACATAAAGCTTTTGTCTGCTTTCATCTATACACTGTGTTGCAAGAGTATTTGCCAGCTAATAAAAATTCCTTAGCGTCAGTAGGAAGAGGTTTCTCTCCCCCCAGCCCCCATCACATTTTGGGGACCCAGGTACATGCGCTCATGAATAAACATGATGACAATAAACCATAAACGGGACCACAACATCTACACTGTCTGCAACTCTGACTTATTCCCCACTGAATAGGTTTGGGTGCATTTCTAAGTCAGTTCCTCCTCTTCCCTTTGGCGCTGGGCTGCGTGCCCACCACAGCCTGGGACGGGTGCCCGGGGACCACGCCCACAGCTCCTGGCACAGCTCTGTCCCGGAGAACTCAGCACCGAGGACACGTCTCCGAGTCCAGCTCCACCACTTACTTTCCAGCTGTGTGACCTTGGACACTCACACAACCTCTCTGTGCCTCGCCTTGCTGCCTGCTAACACATGAGTTACTCTAAGCAGGAACTGGCCGACAGGAGCTGGCAGCTCTCAGCATCCCACTAGAGCAGTGGTTCTCAACCTTCTGGCCCTTTAAATACAGTTCCTCAGGTTGTGGTGACCCCCAACCATAAAATTATTTCCGTTGTTACTTCATAACTGTAATGTTGCTACTGCTATGAATTGTAATGTAAATATCTGATATGCAGGATGGTCTTAGGCGACCCCTGTGAAAGGGTCGTTTGACTGCCAAAGGGGTCGCGACCCACAGGTTGAGAACCGCTGCACTACAGCATCTTCTTACTGTCAGCCACGTTTCCCGGAGCCAGGATTCGCGTTTTCACTCGTTTGTAGCCCTGGCTCCTGGCGCAGGGGCCAGTCACACAGGGCTCAGCAAGAAAACAGCAGACTAAGCATGTGAGTGAGTCAACTAAAAAGCTGTCACCCTAAGAATCCAACTCAGTGAGAGAGACAGTTGTAAAATTAAAAAATAAATAAATAAAGGAAGAAAAACCCAGAGCAGCGATGGAGCCGGGCCAGGCACCCTGATCCTAGAAATCCATCCCAGAGCAGGGATGGAGCCGGGCACCCTGATCCTAGAAATCCACCTCGGAACAGGGATCTGGGCCGGGCACCCTGATCCTAGGAATCCATCCCAGAGCAGGGATCTGGGCCGGGCACCCTGATCCTAGGAATCCATCCCAGAGCAGGGATCTGGGCCGGGCACCCTGATCCTAGGAATCCATCCCAGAGCAGGGATCTGGGCCGGGCACCCTGATCCTAGGAATCCATCCCAGAGCAGGGATCTGGGCCAGGCCGGGCACCCTGATCCTAGAAATCCATCCCAGAGCAGGGATCTGGGCCAGGCACCCTGATCCTAGAAATATATCCCAGAGCAGGGATGGAGCCGGGCACCCTGATCCTAGAAATCCACCCCAGAGCAGGGATGGAGCCGGGCACCGAGATGTCTGTGCTACAATGTTCAGCACGGCACTGTTTATGGTGAAGAAAACCCCCAAACTACGTGACCACTAAGTACCAGAGACTGCTTAACATACCCTGGCACCAGGCAGTGGAATACTAGGCAGCCAGGAAAAGTGACCCGTTAGGCAAATGTGTTTTATGCACGATGTGAAACGTTTCTGATTTATCAAGCAACAACCATCAGTTTAAACGGAAACGTATGGAAAGCACAGAAAAGCGAGTAAAAGGATGGGCCCACCAGCTTGTCTCGGTTGCTTGCATTTTCGGGTGGTTTTTATGTTCTCCCTTTTGCTTACCTGTATTTGTCAAATCTCCTAGAATGAACAGGTATCACTTTTGTAATAAGAAATGTATAATGATATTTCACGCAGAGCTGCAAAGGAGTGCAGTGAGAAAAGAGACAGTCTCTCCTCAGACACGAGAGGCCTTACCTTTCTGAGGTAGTTTAGGCAGAACTCTCGGGCCAAGGGCAGACTTCGCGGAACCGGTGCTAATTAATAAAAAAAATCAGTTAGGACCTAAAAGTGTCATAATATCGGTGGTGACGGGTTACTCAAGGAAATCAGAGGCGGTGCTGAACCATCTAAGAACCCTTGCCAGATCTCTTTAGCAAAAGGATACGGTCTAGTTTCCATCAGTCAGCGTTTGCCCGGCTGGGCGGGTGTTTCTGAATGATTCCGACTAACTCCTCCTCCTCCCAGCCTTTTCCCAGGGCACCGGCCGTGGAAGCAGCTGGTCCTATCCCCGGTGTGGCACAGAGGTACCCCCGCCGGCCCCACTGTCAGAGGAGGAGACCGCCGTGACTGGCAGAGGCCCCGAGCGAGGCTGGTGGGTGATGGACATGGAAATCCAGACCCAGCTCTGCTGGACTCAGAGCCCTCACATCCTCCTAGGTGACCTCCCTCCCCTGGGCTTGGCGCCTCTGGGAGCCCGTGCAAATGAGCAGGAAAGGCCCAGGTCCCTGCGATAGGAGGCTGCCGGTGTCATGTGAGGGGTCAAATGTTAACCCACGGCCTTTAAGTGCCGGCGGACAGGGGCATCTATTCATTGGAACCGCTGCTTCCGTTTAAGACGGGGCCGCAGCCACGGAGCGCCAGGGCCCAGAGTGATAGCAGCCAAGCGCCGTCGTCCCTCCAAGAGCTGCTTTAACCTCCTGCTCCTCCCGCTCTGCCCGCGGATGTCCTCAGAACTGGCTTTTCCCTCCTACCCCAACTGCCTTTACGAGAACAGGGAAAGCCAAGCCAACAGACAAAAACCGGGGCTCAGAGAGACGACGTGCGTGTGCACCTCCTATGCTGGCCCTCGGTCCCCAGGGCGCGCGTGCCTCCTGTGCTGGCCCTTGGTCCCCGGGGCTGCTCGCTCTAGGCCACCTGAGGTCCCACCCGCCTCGGGCAGGGTCCCACTGTCGTTGCGATAAAGCCACCAGGAGCTGGAAATGGCGAACGCCACGTTTGGGCAGTGATTTCCTCAGGTCCTGCAGGCAGGGCGGGCGCCAGGGAAGGGACCCGGGGCGGGGAGTGCGCAGAGCCAGGGTCTGCGTCCAGCGCTGAGGCCGCCGGTCGCCAGTGACCCTCATCTATGAAAGTGCGCCCGTGCTAAGCGGCTCACCTCCCAGGTTGTCAAGACAAAAACAGTGGCATTAAAGAAATGCAGGCTTGTGTTTTAAACCTTGGCTACACTCTGCAAAGCTGTGCCCACACACACCAGGTGACTTTCTCCCTGATTTTGGGTCTGGAAGTGGCCCTGTGTCCTCATCTCAGCCCGGGCCTCTAGCGGAGCCCTCGAGTTGGGACTGGGTAGTGCTGCCCACAGACGATGCTCCAAAGCACCTAGATTCATACATAGCCCTAAGCCCGAGGACCTCTGCTGTCGGTTCAGCGGAGGACTACCTTTCATCCCCACGCCTGCAAAATGGAGCCCAGAGGGAAAGTACCAGAACAAAAGGACTTCAGGTGGAAAACTGGAAATAAAATCTCATTCTGGCAGACTGACTCAGGGATGTGAGGGCCGTCCCACCTGGAGCTGGATGGAGGACGGCTGTCCACTCCCAGCCCGGCCGGCCGCGAAGGGCCAGGCTGTCGCCGTGACCAGCACGGCTGCGGGCCACGTGGAGGAGACCGGCACCAACGCCCACCTCTGTGATTCTGCCCCCACAACCACACGCCCAGCAGGACAGAGCTGGCTTACCTCGCCTGGTGAGACAGCCCCTCAAACTTGTTTGTGGTCTTACTTGATGAGGATGGACCCATATCGTTACCTACAGGGAAAAGAAAATGCGAAGCGTCGCAGCCTCCGACAGAGAAATGGAATATGGGGATGTGGGTTTGGCAGACAAGCACCCCTGAGGTTCCAGAAGGGACTGGAAAGACTGACCCCAAGTCCACCTGCTCTCCGTGGCCACCACCGCGCCCCGATGGTAACAGAACCATGGCAACGACCGGTCACTGAGCACTTACTGTGAGCAAGGCTCTGTGCTCAGTGCCTCACAGTGATCTCTTCATGGGACACACAATACAACCCACCACCGTCCTTCTTACAGAGGAAGAAACACACGCAAAGTAGTCAAGCCCCAGGTCAAGGAGCTGGTGAGGGTCAGCGCTGGGACACGAGGCCGAGCAGCCCACATGCAGGGTCTGCACTAAACCACCACAACCTGTCACTCTTGCCCCCGAACCACAGGGCAGGGAGGGGCTGGCAGAGGGCGGGCTGGGCCTCCCGGACAGAATGTTCTCTGGCCACTTGAGGTGACCTCCATCCTCCAAAGACACTGTGTGTTCATGTCTCTGTCACTCAGCCCTCTCTTCCCCCTCCCTGCTCATCTGCCCGCCACCCCCCCAACACGTCCCCTCCCTGGAGCACCTGCCCTCCCGCCCCCTCCAACACCTGTCCCCTCCCTGCAGCACCTGCCCACCCCCCAACACCTGTCCCCTCCCACTCGCGGTAAATTCTTATGCAACCTTCAAAGCCCATCTCCAAAGCGGGTTTCGGAGCACTCTTCCCCAGCCACTGCGCTCGCTCCCTGCTTCCTTGGCGCCGTGCCCACGGCTCACAGGAGTGGTGATGGTGCGCACGCTGGAGCTGGACAGGCCGGCTTAGAGTTCCAGCCGTGCCGCTGGCCAGCGGGTCTGAGGGGGCTACATGGCCTTTTCTGCGAACCTCAGCTCCCCGACTCCGGTGACTTACCCCAGGTGACTGCGCCTTTGTTGGAGGGCCCGTGAGGTAGTGGGCTGGGAGGGTCCGACAGCGTTCGCTTGTGTCCAGGTGGTGGTGGAGGGGGCCGCTTCTTGGACAGGGTGGAGGTGCCGCCGGAGGTCTGCATGCCGAGGGGGAGCGTGGAAGGTGGGCCAGTGGGACCTGGAAAGGCACCGAACGGGCAGGAAGGTCAGTCCGGGTCTCATCGAGCAGCCGGTGTGTGCAGTCACTTCACACATCGGCGGCGGCACGACAAGGGGAGGGACCAAAGCGCAGGCTGGAGGTGGCCGCGCCCGTCAACCCAGTGATGCCCAAACAGGGTTTCTAAAAGTTGCTGGTGAGAAACAGTGACAGCAAAGGGGAGGCGAGTGTGTGTCTTTAAGAAACAGGAGACCAGTGAGCATGACATGCCAATGCGTTGAGATCACTTAGGTACAACGGGAAAAAACCACGCGCTTTGAACAATAAGTCACTGGAATCGGCGGAACCTACTGAGGAGGAGGCACCGCCAGGGAAATCAATGAGCCAGAGCAGAACAGGCTGCCGCCTCGAGGGCCGCAGGCTGAGGCACGAGGCCACAGAATAGGACTCTTCTCTCCGCCACAGCCTTTCCTTTAAGTCCGTAAACTTTGCCCAAGTTTTCTTTTTTAATATATTTTTACTGATTTTAGAGAGAGGGGAGAAGGAGAGAGAGAGTAACATCAATCTGCTGCCTCCTGCCTGCCCCCTACCAGGGATCGAGCCGGCAATGCAGGCATGTGCTCTGACTGGGAGCGGAACCGCCACCCTCAGGTCCACGGGAGGGTGCTCAACCCAACTGAACCACACTGGCAAGGCCCGAGTTGTTGTTAATGACTTGTATAAGTAATGGAGGATGCTGAAGTAAAAAGAATTACTCGGAAGAAAAAAGAAATCCAAAACCTCTTTTTCCCTCCAATTCTGATGATTGTTCTGGACCTCATAAACCACCTATTATATTAGAAACTCAATAGGTTACATACATTAGACAATAGGTTACATACATTAGACATTGGTTTCTATAGATTTAAAAAAAGACTCAAGTTTCTTCAGAGACAAAGACAGGCTAGCACACACACACACACACACACACACACACACACACCATTACTGCAAAAATGTTGACTTTTTTGAACTGATGTTTTAAGAAAGAAAAAAAAGTGTGTTGTTAGTTTTGTTTCTGGAAAGTGGCACTGAAGTGCTGGTGGGTGCCAGCAGTACCTGCCGGGCACTGGACACACGTCTCTCTGTGACTGTCACCAGGTGGACATTTTAACTGTTCATGAATAACTGCTCCCACAAACGTTAAAATTAAAAGTCAATAAAAAAGGAGAGAAACGAAGAAAAGCGGAGAACACGGCCACACCACATGTGAACACAGGACGGGAGGTACCTGGCGATCCAGACAGGCTCCCAAAGAGCTTTCTACATTCTGCGTGTCAAAGGGAAGCTCAGTCACTGCCGGCCTCCGCCTGGTGACCCAAGTGCTGGCGTTTCCCATGATCAATTACTGATCCGTACCGACATCAACTTAAACCATTTTCTCAGTCGGTAACTGTGGTTTCTCGCTTGGCCTTTGGGATTCAGTGGCCCTCTATGTACTTTATTCTCTCAATCCGGTGATGCCCTCCATCTCGAAGCCTGCCGTTACCCCAGATCAACCACTTATGGCCCCGGTCAGGGCAATCTCAGAACCACTTTATCTTTGAAGCAGAGTCACTGTTACTGCACCCCTGCACTTGTCTGAAGCTTTTAGTTTTCCAAAGTGTCCGTACAGGCCACTCCCCTTGCTTTTCATAAAGGCCCCGTAAAGTATGTGGGTGGGGAATTACGGCCCCCGCTGTGCAGCCAGGAAAGTGGGGACCTGGAGACTTTAGAGTGACAGGCACACGGGGCGAGCTGGGACCACACCCAAGGCCTCTGGGACAGGGAGGCACTCACCCCCTCCCGCAATGCTGCAGTTCCCCAAAGCCAGGGCAGCAGCGAATGCTGTGAGGAAGTGTAACTTCCTCCTGGAAGTAAATGGGGACTGGATAATGGACAAGTTCATCTCTATCGCCACCTAGGGACGCGCCGGGGCACTGCATCCAAAAGGTCATTCAATGGGTTCCAAACCAGGCAAAGCGCTAAGGGAGTGATGTGTGAGCAACGCTGTGTGTGCAGGCGATTTCAGGGGCCATCAGGCCAGGGTTGTCCCATAACCACAAACCGAGCAAAACCGAGCCTCTGGGATCATCATTTCAAAGGGAAGAGACTGGTGTTCCACATGCCATGTCAGCCTTTCTTCCCATCAGCTACGGCGTCTGTGATGACGGCTTTGTTTACGTGCTGATGGCCTGTCTCCCTCGCCAGGCCACAGGTTCTGGTGTACAGTAGGTTGGATCTAGTAATTTAACGCTGAACTAATAGATGAATAGTTTGAATTCAACCTCCCCCAATAAGGCTCCATCTTTAAAAGCCAGGAAATCTATGAAGTCATTCAACTACACCCACACATAGATGTCTTAAAAAATTCATTCCTAGAATCCCAACCAACATGCCTGTCAAACCTCCCCCAACATGCCTGTCAAACCTCCCCCTCCATTCCTGAGCCCGCAGCCAGGAGCCTCACCGCGCCACCTGGAACCCACCTTCCTGCCACATTATCATCTGGGACCGCGGCTCGGAGCGGAGGACAGCCAGTCCCTGCAGGGAATCAGCTGAGGGACTCTGGCCGGCTCAGCGCCACCGCAGCCTCCAGCTTCTCCTCCTGGGAGGCAGCAGTCCCTTCTGTGGGAGCATCCTCCCCGGTCAGGTCGGCTCAAAGGTCATCTTAGGACACCTGTTACCCAGCCCTCTGCCCAGAGCCATTGCTTTTATCTCTGAACTTCCACGAGGACCAACATCACTAGCTTCTCAGCCTGCTTTTCCTGCTGTCAGCTTCCTGAGGGCAAGATCCACAGGCCTTCTCCCACTGCCCGCACGTGCCCGCACGTTCTGGGCGAAGGCGGGTCTGTGGTGGAAGCAGATGGATTCCTTTCCAGAGTCCTCATACCTCTGGCTGTTGGTCAAACAGAAAACCCAGGTCTCCCATGTGGGGAGACCAACTGAAATATAACTTGTTCAAAGGAAAACAAGACCCAGAAGAGGGCTTACAACTTTCCCTGACTCTCTCTGTGTAACTTCAGAATTCTAACACGCCACCTGTGCGTGAATGACACAGGTTGCATCTGTACAGCTGTGGACAGTGCGAATGACAATTTTCCCACTTTCCCATGGTTTTCACAGGATAGAGCTGAAGAGTAGAAACTTTGTTACTTTAAAGGGTAAAGACAATGGGTTCATTCAGAGAGGAACTGCGCGTGGGAAGGAAGGCGCCAAGATGGGGAAACAGAGGCACCTCGAGGTGGAGTGTGCGGACACACGGACCCGGCGCAGACCGACCAGGACTCCACCCGGCAGGGGGCCCTAGGCCAGCAGCACGGCGTCCGCGGAGCCCTGCCACCGCCAGGCTGAGCTGAATGCCTCCTTCCTCCTCACCAGTGTCCACACCTGTCCCAGCTCAGCTGCAGTTTGGCCGCCGCTGTGAGAGGCTTGGAATCGTACACCGGGAGGAAGAGGCAGGTCCATAGCTTACAGTTACTGAAAAACACGGTGAAGCTGTAGCACTGGTGTCTGTTTTCAAGGGCCTGCTCTGGGGGACAGTCTCACGGTGCTCGCCACCTTCCAGGGTCTAGGGGCCCCCAGAGCCGCAGCCCAGCAATCCCAGCAGGAGCCCCCCAGCAGCCCGGGCTCTGCTCTCCTAGAGCCTTTCTCCTGGATGGTCTGTGTCCCTGGGTTCCGATGGCAAGTCCACCAGGAGGGCAGAGGAGACGGACCGTCTTCCCCGACACGCAGAGGGAGAATCTAGGAGCTCTGGTCGGACAACTCCTAAGGCCCATTTTAATTCTCTGTCCCATCCCAGCCATCGAGTGACCTCAAGTCCCTTAACCTTCCCAGGGCTGTCGCTGTGCAATGGGCTGTGGACTGGCCTAACCTTTCAGCACCCTCTTGCTCTCAGATATCCTGGTCCTATGACCTGATTTTAGCTGAAAGATGAAAGACGCAGTGATCCTGGCGAGCCTGGGAATGGCTATCTAGTCCAGCGGTTCTCAACGTGTGGGTTGCGACCCCTTTGGGGGTCGAACGACCCTTTCACAGGGGTCGCCTAAGACCATCGGAAAACACATATATAATTACATATTGTTTACAGTAGGAAAATTACAGTTATGAAGTAGCAATGAAAATAATTTTATGGTTGGGGGTCACCACCACGTGAGGAACTGTATTAAAGGGTCGCGGCATTAGGAAGGTTGAGAACCACTGCTCTTTCTAGTCCTCAGGAGCGCACAGTGGGGCGGGAGCTGCACTTAAATCACGGCTCTGACCTCATCCCGCTGGGCCTCCTACCGCAGAGGGGGAGCCGCCAGCGCGCCTGTCTAGGCTCCCGGACGGCGTACGGGCCCTGAATCGACGAGTCTTCCGCTGCTGACAGCTCTGCCCGAGCACAAGGAGGCTTTGCTTGGAGGTAATGAAGTCAAACTTCCTTGCATTTTGATGAGGCAGCTGGAGTTTCCGGAAAATATTCCTGAGCTGGATTCAGAATGATTCCACTTTCCCCCTCAGTCCGACGATTGGGGGACTTTAACTTTAGTGTCCGTCTCCGCCTCCCCCGAGCTGGCGCCCTTCAGAGCCTGCCTCACTCTCAGGGCAGGGACTTCTGCCAGCAGAGGCCTCGGCGGGACGTGCCACGGAAGGTGGGCAGCCCGAGCGACCCAGGCAGGACACCCTCGCTTTCAGGTAAACGTGTCTATCGGTTCAACAGAATGAAATGGGGAAAAGTAAGGGCCACAAGCCAGGGGGAGCCACCTCCGCACCGAGCACCAGCCGATCTGCAACAACGTCCTCTACGAACTCGCTCTGCACCTGACCGCTTCCCAAGTGCACGGCACGTGAGCCTGGCGAGAGGCGGGACGCAGCTCATGCTGCGGGTCCCTTCAGCTTCCCGAGAAGGCCACTCCCCTGCTGGGGAGTTTCACATGATGCCCGCACAGCCCAGGGCTAAGGCCCAATCTATCGTCAGTGGTTTACAGAGGACGTGGACGCCTGACTTAGGTACGTGCCAGCAAACGTGGGGAACAGTAAGAAACACTGCTGGTGAAACTTCTGGCTCACACGTGCTGTCACGGTCACGGTCACTGGTTATCTTCGATGAGAACTATTCACACCAAAGCCTCTGTTTAACTTTTCTCTGTTACTTTATGATCTATGAGGCCATTCGGGGTCTGTAAGAACACAGCTCCCATTTATAGCACTATCTCAATGGAGAATAAGCTCTGAAAAAACACTGTTTTGAATAAAGCTCACATTTCCCAGAAAATAGCCCCAGTGTGATTGCAATAGGCCCGCATTGTGTGCGGAGAGGCCTGGAAGCGCGTGAGCCGCTGCGCTGTGCAGGGGGAGCCCTGGCTGAGAACAAACCCCAGGCTCCGGCCCGGGGCCTCTCGACTTCCCCGGCTGCGGGACCCTTTGATGTGGGCATTTCTGGGCCTCATCCGTCCCCGTCCCTGTCGGGGAACACGCCGACTTCCTGGCAGGATGGTCTCTGTGGACCCAGGGGCGCAGGACAAGCACTTGTTGCTGGAGGACAGAGCGGTGGCCCCAGCATTAGCCCCTCGGGGGCATCCGACACGCCTGCCCAATCACCTCCTCTGGGGAGGATTCTGCCGCACGGCCTGCCTCGTCCCAGAGACAGGAGGGTGGGCTCAGGCCACACAGGGCCTGGTCAGCATCCGCACAGCCGAGACCGGAGGTCACTTACTCAGCATCTCTGAACCTCTGTCCCTCTAGTCCCCACGATGCCAGCCACTGTCGCACACCCTCACTGTGAACAGGAAATGAGAAAGACTGGGACTAGGGCAGGGGTGGGCAAACTTTTTGACTCGAGGGCCACAATGGGTTCTTAAATTGGACCGGAGGGCCGGAACAAAAGCATGGATGGAGTGTTTGTGGGAACTAATATAAATTCAAAGTAAACATCATTACATAAAAGGGTACGGTCTTTTTTTTTTTTTAGTTTTATTCATTTCAAACGGGCCGGATCTGGCCCGCGGGCCGTAGTGTGCCCACGGCTGGTCTAGGGCCTCCAGGGCTCCACCTGTAACTAATGCTGCTGCCACACTATCTTCAGAAGAGAGGCGGGCTGGTCTAGAGGAAAGCACTTTTACATAACAAGAATCCTTACGAAAGAGGAAAGAGCCCAGGTCTTGGACACTATGTGGACCTTGGATTGAATCTCAACTCTACTACTTACCAGCTACATGACCTTGACAAGCCACTCTTACCTCCCTAAGCCTCAGTTTCCATATCTGCAAAATGGGCACGAAGAGCACACCCCAGACAGGACTGCCGTGAGGTTCACACAGAATGTGTGAGGCGTGCCCACAACACCGCCTACCTGGCTGCTGGTGCTGGCACCCCACTCCAGACTCTGCCACCCACGTGCGCCTGGCAACTCTCCCTCCAGGCTGCGTGACTCCTAGCTCTGAGGACGGAGCCACGAGGCCCTTCTCAAAGCCCGTACCTTTGCCGGCATTTCGAGGAGGCAATGGAGGTGCCTCCGAGGTGGGTGACGTGGGGGAGTCTGTGCTCGTGGAGGTGAAGATCTGGTTGGTGAAGGCGCTGTAGGAGAGCCGCTGCTTGTCCCGCGGGGTGCCGAATCCCGGCTGCGCCAGCTTGTCCTGTGGGGAGATGCTGGAGGAGTGGCAGAAGCTCTGGGGGCGCGGCGAGCGCTCCTTCTTGATGGGGCTCGGCTGGAGGGAGAGAACAGTGCAGAGGGTGAGACAACCATCCGGACGCCACTGCGGGCGGGCTCCAGGGGGAACCTGGGCACCCACAACCCTGGCCCCAGAGGACCACACAGGACAGGGAAGGACGCAGACCTTACACTTCCGATCCTTGTGTCACCACTGCCAGGGTCATGTTAGGGGGACACTGGTTAGGGGTCAGCAGTGGCCAGAAGCATAAGGTCCCAGTTAGGATTAACCTTTAATCTGCAAGTCCCTCCGGGTGCAGGCCCCGGCCACCAGCATATGAACAGATTCCCACCCGCCTACAAGTGGCCACGTTAAACGCTCCTTTGTGGTGAGCCATTTGAAGCCGAGATTCTCAATCCTACCTCTCTTCTCACTTGCATCAGCGCAGAAGTAACCTCATCCACACCCCTGGCTTTGACTGACCCCAATGCCGACTCAGACCTGCAGGCCCCATCCCACCTCCTGGATTCAAAACCATTTTCATGCCTGTGAGGTGCCCTGGGTCTGTATCCTGGTGACAGTTTTAGCATCCACTGCTTTCCGAGTCAGGACCCTCCGTGCCTGCCAGTCACCGGCTGTGCATGGAGAGCTCAGGGACACCCCTGGGACTGTGTGCACAGGACCCTTCAGCTCCCACAGGAGCAATGGCCCCTGAACAGCCCGATTCCGTTTCTTTCAATCCGTTTTCCACACAGACGCAGGGCAGGTAGGAAACACGCCCTTCCCACAAGAAATCTCTGTTGGCTCCTCACTGCTACTGGTTGTTAATTTGAAAAATTCACTGGCTTTATCCAAAGCCGAAAGGTCAAACGTGGCCCACAGAGCCTCCCTGATCTGGGCGGCCTGGCCCTGCGGCGGCCTCCTGCCTCTCTCCGCCCAGCCAATGTGCAGGTCGCCTCACACACTGTGCTTCTAACCTTTCCTCAGATGTCCGGGCTCCAGCATGACCCCGGGGCCTTTGCACATGCTGCTCTTCCTTCCTGGAAGAATGCATTCCTCCTCCTCTGCCCTGCAAGCTCCTCCCTACCTTAGGAGCCCATCTCCACTGTCCGTCCTTGACGGGTCTTCACTGCTGTGTCCTCCGAGCACTCCTCAGCAACCCCCAATTCCCATTATTAGGGTTTCCACTGTCGCCTCTAAATGTCTCCTCTAAAGTGGGAGCACCTCAGGGCACCTTTGTCCGGTCAGCTCTGGCCATTCCTCACATCCTGCCTGGGAAGAAGCATCGCCCCCACACGCCCAGTGAAAGGTGCGCGGCCAGCCTCAGAGCTCGCTGAGAACGACCTCTGGGAGCCGAGACCGCCTCCACCAGCTGACACTGCAGACGAGTTGCAAAATGTCCGTGTGTCAGTTTTCTCCTCTGCAGCAGGGACAAGAGCACAGTGGGCGTTCCTAAGAACAACCTGGGGGGACACGGGCGACATGCCTACCGCTGCCCAGTCCACGTGCAAGTGCTCGATAAACAACAACTTATTCTTTACTCGTCAGCCGTTTTGAGGGCTAATTTTATGTGTCAACTTGGCTAAGCCCTGGTGCCCAGGTGTTTGGTCAAACAGCAGCCTAGGAGTTGCTGGGAGGGTGTTCTTCAGTGTGGTTAACATTTAGATGTGGAGTGAAGGGGATACCCTCCATAATGGGGTGGGCCTCAGCCGGTGAGCTGAAGGGCTTAGGAGAAAAGACTGAGGTCCCCCCCACCCTGCCCCCCGAGGCTCCAGAGGCCTTCGGACTCAAGATTGCCAGGATTCCCAACCTGCCCATACATTTTGGACTTGTCAGCCCTCAGGCGCGTGTGAGCCAACCCCCTAAAATAGATTCCATGCTTTCTCTCCAGGGATACGCGTCCCATCGGCTCCGTTTCTCTGGAGATCCCTGACTGATGCAGCTGCTACGTGGGACCCAAAGGAGTACCCGGTCTGAGCCAAGAGAACGGCCCTGGTGCATCAGGTCCTAAGACCAAGCGACCTCCTTCAGAGAAACGGGGGAGACGCACTCAGAGCCCCAGAGGCCGACTCACACTCACCTTGTCGTCCAGGTCGTCGTCGCTCTCATCCATCTCCTCCTGCCGCAGGTTCCATTCGTATTCCACGTGGACGTGTGGGTTGAACTTTCCGGACTTAGCCTGGGAAAGCTGAAAGGAACAGCGGGCGCAGCCATTGTCATTCAAACGCCAAACACCCCAACATTATAGCGGCACTGAGCAAACCCCACCTGTTCCCGGGTCCCAGTTAACCACCAGCAGCGGCTTTGGAAGCAACCCCCTGGCCGTCCACGCTGGACCAGCAGACAGCTCAGAGAAACCGCCAGGAATTCCAGGCACGGTCTATTTTAGTTTGATAATGTGACTTCTCTCCAGAATGTAAAGCTTTTTAAAATATTATTAAAATGAGTCTCAAAACGGCAAATTCTTGGCTGGAAGGCAAAATCACAGTCAGGGAAGTGCGAGGGGTGGGTCTTTCAAGTCAGACAGTCCCAGTTCAATCCATGTCCCCTGTTCTTACTCACACACGGGGCGGGACACCCAGACCTCCTCGGAGGAGTCTCGGAGGAATAGAAAAGCGCCACAGGGGCCTGGAGCTCGGGAAGGTAACCTACCTTTCCTATCTCAACCTTCCCCAGGTTATGAGCACCGTGTTCCGCTGCGGCCTGGAGCTGTGAGCAGGGACCAGTGGGAGCGGAAAAGGTGAGTGCATGCAGGGACACGAGGGGGAGAGCAGCGCGCTTAACATTTAAAGACCATTGTACTCTGCCCTTGGCTTGCCCGACTATTTGGCTCCCCAGATAGGTCTTCCTGACCGGGAGCCACAGAGAAAGCCGGATGACCTCGACCCGTAAGCCCGGGTGGTAACACCGCCTCTCACCCGCCTCCCAGCTCCTCATCACAGCTGCCCTCCGAGGACAGGCGGGTGACACGTTTATTGTGTTTTCAAATGCAGCCACAGTGCTTGTCGGAATTTCTTTAGCCAAAATTAAAAAAAAAATTGCTTCTTTTATCTCCAGTTCCAGTTTCAGACAATGCCACTTCAGGGCAGCTGATGTCTATTTAGCTTGCTTACCACATTTTTTTCTTTTACTTTTTAAACTATATTTTTATTGATTTCAGAGAGGAAGGGAGAGGGAGAGAGAGCTAGAAACATCAATGATGAGAGAGAATCATTGATCGCTGCCTCCTGCACACCCCCTACTGGGGATTGAGCTTACAACCAGGGCACGTGCCCTTGACTGGAATTGAACCTGGGACCCTTCGGTCTGCAGGCCGACGCTCTATCCACTGAGCCACACCAGCCAGGGCTGCTTACCAGATCTTCGCATTGGGTGGCTTTCAGTCTCTTCGCTATGTCGAGGGCAGTCTCTCCAGCCTGGTTCACTGAAATGGAAGAGACATGTGCATGATTAGGACAGACCTCGAAAAGGCAGAGACCATGATCAGATTACGGGCAGCAGGCAAGCTCAGGTCCAGCCACGGCTGCTGAGCCCCACGCGCGTGTGCTCACCCACGTCCACGGTGGGCTTGCTCCGCAGCAGCAGCTTCAGGCACTCGGGCTTGTCGAACATGCTGCAGTAGTGCAGGGCCGTGTTCCCCTGGGCCGTCTGCTTGTCCAGGTTCCCACTGAAAAACCAGAGCAGCGGGAAAAACGGCTGCCTCTCCAACCCAGCACTACGGGCGAACCACTTACGTCTGGGCTAACAACGGAGTCAAATTTCAGACCCGTCTATTATAAACTTAGGAGGTTTCTAACATTTCACCCAAATTTACAAGCAACACAGGACGCCAGTGGTCAGCACTGACTGAGTGTACTACGAGACAGACACTGCCTCTTAGCTTTTCACCTATCTTAGCTCATGTAACCTTCACAAGATGCTACTACAGAGAGGACCCAGTGTGTGCGTTTGAGATTACCAAGACACGGATGATGGAGCAAGGATGTGAACGCAGGCAACGTGTGTTCTTCACCAATGCTCTTGACCACTGCACCTCTAAGGGGCCTGGGCACTGATACAGCTTAGCTTGGGTCACTTGTGGGTTCAAACGCCCTCACGGTTTTGCTCACGCTCTTTTGCATGAGCTTCGGTTCCTCCTCAAAATCTGTGGCTTACAGATCTACCCCAGGAAGAATCCAGCAAGTCCAAAGCTCCTGTGCTGACTATTATACTCCTATTAGCACGTCCCAAGTCTGAATCAGCGACCGAGTCAGCCACACACACTGTCTTACAATGAACATCCTGTGGACCTGCCCTGTTAAGTCTTTTCTTTCCCAACCTCCCAAGCGCAGAGGTTTTGGACCCAGAGACAGGATTTTACAATTTCGTAGACCAGGGGTTGGAGAACCATAGCTGCAGGCCTTCTCTGGCCCTCCATTTGTTTTTGTAAATAAAGTTTTATTGGAACACACCCACGCCCACTCATTTGCATACTGCCTTCGCTGCTTTCATAACTGCAATGGCAGTGTTGAATGCGACAGAGACCTCATGGCCTGCAAAGCCTAAAGTAGTATCTGGCTCTTTAAGAAGGGTGTGCTGATTACTGATGGCGGCTGCTAACAGGACTGGTCTGTGCTAACTTACAAGGCCCATTCAGAGCAAACAGAAACCATACCAGTTTTGGACAAGGAAGTCAACCAAATGGAGAGATGTCTGGTCTGCAGTCCGGACTGCAAGATGAAGGGCGGTCTCCCCGAGCTCCTGCGAAGGACAGGCAAGTATAAACAGGCGGTCGCATGTCCTACTTTGTCTAGGTAGTTTCCTTCACGTCGTTACCCCAAAGTAATTATTAATAGCCCCCCTCCCCTCTCAGATTGTCCTGATTCAGGCGGGGCACTTGGTGTGTTACAGCCTCATTATAATAACGAGCCATCTTTGAAACGGACTGTCCATGTTCCTCTCGACCCGATGATGTCAGCGCAGCCTCACCTGCCCGGGCTCCAGCAGTGGCTCCATGAGCTCCACGCCTTCCGCGTAGACCTGGACGAGTGCAAGTAAGTCCCGGGACCTCACGGCCTCCAGCAATTCGTTCAGTTTAGCTGACGGAGATGAACAGGTCTTCCGCGAAAACCGATGGTCCACATACTTCGCCGTGATATACTCCTTCCGTGCCGTCCTAAACAGAGCATGAGACGAAGCCTTATCATTTTCCAGGGCTGAGAAAGGGTTACATCTTTGCAGACCAACACTTCTTTCTGAGAAGAGTTATTTTAATTAAGAGACTTCATTATTAGACCTACTGGGAGATCTGATGATGTCAGAGTGGAAGAACCGTGCTCCTTGGACGTGCCCCATAATAGTTTTGTGAACTTGGTGCCTGAACAACCACCCAGAAGGGGCTGGTCTAACCTTTAGGCAGGCGTCTGCTTCACAAAACCTTCGCTGATCGCGAGAAGAAAGAATGTTATCTTTCTTCCTAGTCACCCACAGTATTAAACAAATTTCAAGTGCAAAGTCAATGTAAAAATTTTTGAATAGGTTTAAAGATCCACTTGACTCAAAACTAAAAATGATACCAGAAGGTGTGTATGGAGGAGTCTCACAGTCACACCACCCAGAGCAAGCACGTAAGTTTGCTGTGTATTTTCCCGGGTTTCGTCAAGCAAACACAATGTCAAGTAAGCGTATGTTTATGTATTCGTCGTTGTCCAAATCCATTTGGTGCCTGAGTCCAGACAGGAAATTGTGAGAGTTCAAAAGTGAAGGATAGATCAGCAGATATGCCCGCGATTCAGTTCCTGAGTTTGGATGGCATGTCTGCGACCAGAGGGATTCGCGCACTCATTCCCACGCCTCCTCCTCCCTCCCCAAGCCAGGCAGCCAGACATGAGGTACGTAGTCAGATGCCTATAGAACAGTGATGGCGAACCTATGACACGAGTGTCAGAGGTGACACGTGAACTTATTTTTTTGGTTGATTTTTCTTTGTTAAATGGCATTTAAATATATAAAATAAATATCAAAAATATAAATCTTCGTTTTACTATGGTTGCAAATATCAAAAAAATTCTATATGTGACACGGCACCAGAGTTAAGTTAGGGTTTTTCAAAATGCTGACACGCCGAGCTCAGAAGGTTCGCCATCACTGCTCTAGAAGGACACTCGCTTTGTCCCTCATGACACAACAGGAATGACCCCCAGAAGTGGGGCTGCTGAGTCACAGGTAAACACACTTCTGATGGTGACAAATACAGCGAGCTCGCTCCTCACAGGCAGCGTGCCACCTGGATCCCCACCAGCAGCGCCGGGGACCCTGGGATGGCTGCTTCCCCAGACTTGCCGCGGGGATGTCACAAATCTGGACCTTTGCCAACCTGACAGGCGTCTCTCACTGCTGTTGTGTCTCCTATTTATCACAACAGGCGCGATTTAGAGAATCGTCCTCATGAAGCTTTACCCTCCAAGCAGACACCACTCCCGAGGGGGAGGTGATGCTGAAAATAACCCGTGAGTTCCAGAAGCATGTTGCAAAATACGTTTCTTTGCTCTGCTTTTTCCTCATAATGGGGTTTCCTCTTGGGGAAGGGGGGGGTACTATAACCACGAAGATGTTTTTGGGGAGCGTTGAAAAAACAATGATAGATGGTAAAGAATTCAGTATGTTAGAAGTACTTACATGTCACTCATTGGGGTAGGTTTTGGTGAGGGGCTGGGTAAATTTGCTTCCATAATATCATTGAAACTATTGTTCCCAATAGTCTTGGCTAGCTGTAACATAAACACAACACAGCAAACTCGTTACTACCGGTTTAAAAGTTCCCTATTATTGCTGAATATGTACCTTCCTTCACTTGACTCAGGCTACAAGCCATCCATCCATCTCAGTGGTTCTCAACCTTCTTAATGCCACCACCCTTCAATACAGTTCCTCATGTTGTGGTGACCCCCAACCATAAAATTATTTTCGCTGCTAGTTCATAACTGTAATGTTGCTACTGTTATGAATCGTCATGTAAATATCTGATATGCAGGATGTATTTTCATTGTTACAAATTGAACATAATTAAAGCATAGCTATTAATCACAAAAACAATATGTAATTATATATGTGTTTTCCGATGGTCTTAGGCGACCCCTGTGAAAGGGTTGTTCGACCCCCAAAGGGGTCGTGACCCACAGGTTGAGAACCACTGATCCATCTGGTCAACAAGCATTTGCTGAGCACTTACTACGTGCCTCACTTCTGGTTGAGGGGTTTACTCTAATTGGACAGAAAAGAATTTAGAATTCCTTTATATTTGGGATACAAATTAAGATGTTGCCCTGGCCGGTGGTGCTCAGTGGTTGGAGTGTCAGCCCACGAACCGAAGGGTTGCGGGTTTGATTCCCAGTCAAGGGCTCATACCTGGGTTGCAAGTTCGTTCCCTGCCCGCCCCCCCCTGCCCCGTCAGGACATGAGTGGGAGGCAATCAATTGATGTCTCTCTTTCTCTTCCTCCCTCTTTCCTCCCTTCCACTCTAACTGAAGGCAAGGGAAAAATATCCTCAGGTGAAGATTAAAACAACAAAAAAAAGATGCGGCAGGCAACTAATGAAGAAGCTCCACGCTTCTGGGTTCAAGAACCTTAAAAAAATTTTATTCTGAAGGTCCTTTGGTCGTTCAGATAATGAGAGAATCAATATAAAGTGTAAGAACGTTCATACAGCCGTCTCTGGGGAGAGGCTTGAGCTCATCACGTGGCGAGTGTTTAGCATGTGGACTCTTCCTGTTCCCAGCTATCACCCTGGGCTTCATTAATCGAGTCAAGGAGATGGGGCGATGCCGTTTCCGCACTAAAGGAGGAAGTTTCAGGTGTTGGCCCCGAGCCTCTCCCCTCCAGTCCTGAGTGACTGGGGAGCCGGTATCAGAATACTTCCTAAGTTCCCTGCTTCCTAAATCGAGGGGCTCCTACACCCAAGACAGACCCCATTGCTTACAGGGTGCTGACGACACGGCTGCCGGCTGGGGGACTGACTCTGGGGTGCTGTGCACCGGACAAGCTCCTGAGGAGCTGGGCTTTCGGGGGTGGGGCCCAGGCTCGCTCAGGGTTTGCTCAGGGCCTTGGGTCTGAGACGGAGCCTATTTCACGTCACGCGCTTTCATTGTTAAAGACCAGTTAGTATAAATCCCAGGCCACCAGGTTCAAATTTTGCAAGACAGGACTTCTGACCACAGGCATTCTGGGAGATGCCCAGGGGGCCTTCCCGACCGGATCTATGTACTGGGGGGACCCGATAAGGCTCCAAATTTGGGGGAATCATGATGGGAAGGGTAGGTGATAAGCTCACACCTGCATAGTCCTTCCCTTACTACCTAACGAAGTCAAGGCGTAGGAGTGACTGGTTTTAGGACAGGAGCTAACAGGCTACTCCCAATTCACGAGTACTTTTAGAAACAAACAGTAAAACTCTTAGGTCATTGTTTCGTATAACATGTGTCCCTAGGTAAAGCGAATGTGGGAGTTCAGCGCTTACCTCCCTTTGTGCTTTATAGTGAGTCATGTAAGACTAATTCTGAAAGAAAAAACAGCTTTGAAAAAGCCCACCCAGGAAAGAGAGCCAGTAGCTGAACTAAGTATGGAAATGCCTGACTTACCAGCTCTTCGCACAGGAAACGGCAACAGTCAACATTACATACCACAAAATTCACATCTTAAATATCGATGCAAATTGAACAACATTCAGGAAGTAGAAGTCTATGTACTCACCAGAAACAGAAACCTCAAAGCAATATGCTAAATACATTCACGACAATAAACGTATAAAGTTTTCTTCCAAAGACAGGCCACTACTCACCAAGAGTTCAGAAGTTCCCAGTTTGTCTAGTTCCAAAGACTGAATGCGGGAAACATGGACCCCCATTTCCCTGTGGATTCCAGAACATTCTATGCAGGTCAGAATACCCAAGTTGGTTGAAAGCCAGGTGGGTTCTGTGGAGAGGATTGTGAAGACAGTGAACAAACAAAGTACCTAATTGTAGTGTGCCAACTACAGAGGATGCTAAAACAACAGCGGTAAAACGTGAAAGAATTATGGGGGGAGATTTAAATGGAAGAAATAGATGCTTGCATTTGGCCGAGGGCCTATGATAAAAACCAATAGCTTGTTAGAGAGCAAAAAGTGTAATAAAACACGTTTTTAAAAAATTTCCTTTCAATACTGGATTGAAAACCACATGTTCTTTATTCTTGTGAAGCGTGGGAAAGACTTCCATGAGACTCAGGACACACCTGAAGGCCTGGTGGGGGCGCTCCCTCCGCACCAGCACCTCCCCGACAGGGACGGCTGCAGACCTGCAGTCCAGCACAGGGACAGGCTCTGCAGCAAGCATGTCAAACTCACCACCCTCGGGCCGCAGGTGGCCCACAATGAATATTTTTGCGCCCAGCCAATATAACAGTATATAAGAAACATTTTAATGAAAATTTTATAACTTAATTTTTATAATATCCTGTTATACATCATTGGTAATAATGAACTACAATGTTCACTAATTACTGATTACTATAATCGTGTTGCATTCATTTCCCTTATACGCCTTACGCGCAGGCGCACCACTTCTCTCCACTAACACTAGCAGCGACTATTTTAGCAGCCAATGGCCAAGTCGTTAGTCTTGGACTGACTTGTTGGGTGTGCGCAACAGGAAATATTTCACTTTCAGAGAACAAGAGCATAGGTTTATTTGCATTACCCTTATTAATTTGTGCAGTTATTCAGTGTCTGGTAAGTTAATGTTCAAGAAAAATATTATTTTTATTAAAATGTTCTATTATTTTATGTTAACGATGACTCATTTATTTCACCCCTTTGTATTCAACATGTCTCTATCGAAATAAATCTATGTTCCTATGAAAATTGAAGCTTTTGTTTTTTTTGCGGCCAATTACACTTAGACTGTGTTTATTTGGCCCGTGTTAGCCTTGGAGTTGACATGCCTGCTCTACAGGCATCTTTAACCCCGAGTCACAACTCCCATGAGCCCATCATCTCAGTGACGGCCTGTCCACAAGTGCCTGTGGGTAAGAGCTTAGGCTCTCAGAGACCTTAGGCCTCTGTTTCTACAACCGAAAGGCTCCAGAACAGCAGGAACACATATTTCTATTACCCGAACCTGCAGGGTCCTTCCTGTGGGCCAGCTTCCTTTCCACGGGTCAGTACCCGGGCATCTACACTCCTCTGCCATGTCCTCCCCAGTGAGTGCCTACCCCACACATCACGGGAGTGGCAGGAAACGAGTCGTGTCTCCGAGGGGCCTATGCCATGTCGGACAGAGAAGCCCATTTTCACAGGTAAAACATCATGGGTTGAAATGTTTACGAGCTACAGGTTTGCACCCATGTTCTGACTCCTCCTAGATGTGTGACCTTAGGCAAGTCACTTGCCCTCTAAGCCCCCCATTTCCTCCTCTGTAAGATGGGGATAATATTAGCATCTTGCTCACAGAACTTCTGTGAAGATTCAATAAGATACTATAAGCAAAACAACTAGCAGGGTCCTTATGAAGCACTGAATAACAGTGAGCTACTGTCACCTTCTAGGTAACACAGATGCTATTTGGAAATAGAAGTTTCCAGGTGATACGGAGGTTGGGAGGCTTCACTAGGCAGGAAGAAAAGTGATGTACCACTTGTCAGCCCCATCTACACTATTTCACTAAGTCTTTGTAAGAACTGGGGTTTATGATCCCATTTTTAGGATGAGGAACCTGAAGGTCAGAATAGTAAAGGGACTCGGCGTGAGGCTGACCAGGTTGCGAGGGGCAGGCTGGCGATCCAAAGCCGGGATGATGGACTCCAGGTCCAGTGCTCCCCCATGCTGCCCTTGGTGCCATTTAACTGGACCTCACTAGGAAAGGTAGCATTCTGGCTGGGGACCATGCAGGGAGAGCAGGCGGGAGCTTTCTAGGTACAGCAAACAGCCCGGTCACTCACGCTGGGAACCCGTGTTGGGTGTGTCCGTAAGGAAGCAAGGGTTTTAGATTCCTGGCTCAGGCATCTTCCACAGGAAGAGAAAAGGCGTTTAACAAGCCAGCTCTGCTTTGGGGACACCGACCTGAGGAGCCGCAGTCGCAGCAGACGTCGTTGCCAGGCAGCCGCTGGACGTCCTCGATGATGGCTTTGGTCAGGTCTTCCAGGCTGTTCTCGCCCGCGCTCTGCTCTCCGCGGAAGGCCATGGTCAGGGCCTCCTCTTTGCTGTTTGTCAGCACTGATATCCACCTGTAGTCAGAACAGGGGAAGGAGACACTGTTTTCTCCTTACACTGCAGCCAATCTGGTTTCACCAAGGAACACCAAGAGACACCGCTCCCCGCTAACAATCAAGTAGGAAGAAAAGGAAAGGAATTAAACCTAAAGGAAAGAGAATGAAAGAATGGAAAGCAGCGAGTCAGAGAGAACGGCAGATGAGAGGACAGATGAGGGAGGCGGAGGTCTCTATCACCGAGGACCTGCAGGGACATCTGGACAGAACAGAGTGGACGTCAGAAGGAAGAGGACTCAGTGAGGGACCAGCCCAAGGTGAGGATGAGAAAGAACTGGTGATAGGAGGCAGGAAAGAGCTCAGCAAAAGGCATCAGTCCTCTGGAGGCCAACTCAGTGAGGCCCTTGACGTGGAAACAAACAGGATATTTCATTAGAAGTCGTGAAAATTTATGCTCAGGAGCTCTGGCCGCGTGGCTCAGGTGGTTAGAGCACCATCCCCATACACCACGGTTGTGGTTCGATCCCCGGTCAGGGCACATACAGGAATCAACCAATGAATGTGTAAATGGGTGGAACAGCCAATCAATGTTTCTCTCCCGCTGTCCCCCTCTCTAAAATAAATAAATAAAAATTAGAAAAAAAAAGAAAATTTATGCTATGAAAAAGGTATATTAATGTGGAAACATGCTGGCATTTTAATATAAAACAAAAAGTGAAGGCTATTAAATGACATATACAGTACGATCACAGTATGTCTTGAACAAAACACATTTGCCACCAACCTGTGCATATGATAACCTAAATGCCCAACAACAGGGGCTGATTAAGGCCTGAGATAACCCAGCTACTGAAATTTAATTTTTTCTAATTTTTAATGACTTTGGGGAAATGCTCACAATATAACATTTTGTGAAATAAACAGGAAAAACTGTTGCACGATATAACCCCAAATTTAAATGCATGTATGGATTATATATTTTTGTTTGGGGGAAAAATGGCTAGAAAGAAATTCATAAAATGTTAATACCGCTTGTCCCCGAGTGACCTTCTGTAGGAAAATGGAGAGATGGATTGCCTGGCTCTGTGCCTTCCTGTAATTTTCCATCTATAGGGAGCTTGTATCACTTTCATGGATGAGGAAAAAGAGCCAAATTTATTTTTTTTCAGAAGAAAAGAAAAAACATTTCCCAATCACAGTTTGTTCTCACCGACTGCGGAGTCAGGTAATATCTATTCTCAGCAGAGAATACAGAGGTCCAGAGCGGAGTCTGTATTTTTTTTGGTGTCTTGTAGGATCAAATGGATATGAAACAAAGGACTATCTACAAAAGGCTTTGAATTAGTCACAGAGACAGCAATGGGAGGGAAGGAAAGGACAAACCAAGCTACATGGAGTCCCTGAGGTGCAATTCATACCTTTGACTCTAGGTGGCGCTCACCTTAAGTTTGTTGTGAGAAATGCATTTGCACAGCTTTAGCTTTTCTACTGTGATGTGGAAAACTACACCTCAAAACCAACACTCTAGGGACGGGGTGTGTGTGGGGGGGATGTCACTTAATACCTTTTAAATTAAACTGCATATTTTCTATCGTTTCGTCTCAAGTTAAAAACTACAAATTGATTTGTTAAAAATAGTTTAAGAGACCGGACACCACATGTTCTCTTTGGCACTGAGCTTACTGAAGTTTTCACTGGCTGCAGGGTCTCCGTTTTGCTTTCCTTAAGCCTTCTGATGTCCTGCCTATTCATTATTACAAACACCTACTATGTGCCAAGTACTTAGAATTTTTTAAACGCAATCCTCCATCCCGCCTCCCAGGGCCTCCAACACCTCACACATGAGGAACGTGAAGCCCGGAGAGGCTAACCCATTTGCCCGGGTCCACAGTGGACTGGTGTCCGACTGGGACAAAAACCGCTTCTAATGGCTCCCTTTCTCAGAGTTCCTTCCATTATGCCATTTTTGCATCTTTATTCAAGAGCTCATGACAAGTAAGGAAATAAAGAAGTCTGTCATGAAAATCAGAAAATACGAATATAAAGGACAATGAATTCTCTGGAAGAACAATTCAAATTTGGTGCAATGGAATGGCTGCATTTCAAAAGGGTGGAGAATCAAAACAGCTATTTCTGACAATTAAAGAAAAAAAACCTTTAGATTATTTTAGAGTAACAGGCATAAAAAATGCAAGAAAAAGAAGAATGCATGATTGTATTTTAACACTTTCAAAAGGGCAGAGCCGGGACCAGGGGTCAGGCTGGCCCGCCTCGAACACGCAGCTGCTCTTTTTACTGCCCCTGCCTCCTTCCTCGGTGAGAAGTGATTTCTTTGTTCAGTTTTACTGGACACTTTCCTCCGTGTAACTTGGAGGCGAATGAAGAACAGAGAGAGCAGCGTGGGCTGGCCCAGAGGGGAGAAGCTAGCGTGGGGAACGGCCAGGGGCGGTGCTGAGTCATGACGGAGATCCTTACGCATGTGGTACAGGACGGAGGCGCGTGGTGCCATTAGCTCAAAACTACTTACGCTACGTAATCCTGCTCATCTTCTGCCTGGAAGTGATACGTCCTATTATCTAAAATACAAAAGAGAAAAGAACGTGAAACCTTAGAAATCAGAATACCTTCAGGTCTAAAACAAACAAACAAACAAAAACCCACAGTAAAAGTAGGGTTTTTAAATTATTTTGTTTTTACGCCACTTTGTTTTAGCAGTTACACAGTTCATGTTGTCAATGCTATTTTTCTAAAGTGCCCAGGAATGCAATAAAATAGCTGCCAATACCACGCCGATACCTGGCACTTAGGAAAAAGAAGTGGGAGGGGGATGGTCCTACCTGCTCGAGCGGGTTCCAGAGACAGCTGCAGAGTGCCAGCTGCCAAGGCAGTATTTTACTTTTCATTCTCAACTTGCCTTTTATTGTGTTTCTTTTTAAAAAGACTTTCCTTTTTGGAAATAGTTCCTAACTTGCAGGGCAGCTCTGACAGCAGGGCTCAGTCAAAAAGCTGCCCCGCTGGGCTGCTCTCTGCGAAGATCAGCTTCAAGAAAGAAGGCCTGACCTTGCTCGACGGTCACCTTCAGGCCGATGCCCAGGGAAGGAGGGAGTGGCCTAACTTTGATAGTCTGGGCAGGTGTATATAAGGGAAGCTCTTGCTTAAAATTCAGAATCCGCTAGAACGCTTCAACACAGTCAGGTCAAACTAACCTTCACTTAAGTAGCCAGCCACGCACTGTGTGGCCGCTCCAGGCTAGGCATTCACACCCCCGTCTCCTGGAGACGGTGTTTATGCCCGAGAACACGTTACGGGTAGTAGAGCCCAAGAGTCTCAACTGAATCTCTGCTTTAATGCTGTGTGACCTTGTATAAGTAACTGAACCTCTCTGAGCCTGTTTTCTGTCAAACAGGACACCAATGGGGCTTTTGTGAGGATTGGCAATAACATATATAAAGCACCCAGCACACACTGGATGTTCAGTAACTGCTCAATAACCTACAGGTTCTGAAATGGAGAGGTCTAGGCTTTCTGAAGTCATCTTACAAATCTAACTTCTCACTAATAACCCAAGAAACCTCTTGGTCATAAAATCAGAGGGGCTCCGAACTTGAATAGGTGCTACAGAATCCAGCTCAGGTGCCCTGCCAAGAGCCTCGCACGGACCAGTCCTTGGGAATGGAAATGGGCGACATCAGGATCCACAGTGACTGACCCGGAGAGAAGAGGGACTCACGTGAAATCAGGTCAAAAGACTTCTTGTCCTCGGCGTTCGGCTTCACCTGGCAGGTGAGAAGGTTCAGCTTGGCTGGCTGCCTGTTAGCCTGGAACAGAGAAAACGGAGTCGTTACCTGCTGCACCTTCCCCCCCGCCTGCCAGGCCAGTGCCCTGCGGGGCAAGCATGCGGTTTCAGGCAGCAAATTTGATAAAAGTCTTTCCCCCCCTTCAGTTTGTTGTTCCACTTATTTCTGCGTTCATTGGCTGATTCTTGCATGTACTCCGAGTGAGGAGTGAACCCGCAGCCTGGGCACACTGGGCCGATGCTCTAACCAACTGATACTTGGCCAGGGCCAAATGTGATAGTCTTATTCGGACAATCAGGATTCTGAATCTCATTAAAAAAGAAAAAATTTTTGGTGGTCTACTAAATGTCGGTTAGCTGTACATAAATACTATATTGGTGATTAATCAGAATGGAACCAGGAAAATCCACCTTTAAATGAGGAGTGGGCACGGCCCATGGAAATGTACCTTTCTGGACCCGATACACATCCAGGCCAAAGAGTCGGCACTTCTAATACCGCATCCTGCTGTGAAATGTAGTGGAGTACATCTCATTCATTCATTCATTCATTCACTCATTCATTCAGAATGGCCCCAGTCAACAATCACCCCAACCTGGTGTCCCAGATATCCACAAGTTTTGGTTGCAACGTGAAATGTACAGAACTTCTCTCAAGTACAAGGACAACTACCACCCTCGAGACACAGCTCAGTGAGCCCCCACATCTGAAGACAGAAAATGTAGCCAGGATTTCACATCACAGATTTATCAGCACATCTCTTGGTCACACGTATAATTTACACAGACCCTGTGGTGTGTGCACAGCCACGTTAATTCAGGCTTTGCCTACGTGGAGCCTTGCCACGAAATCATTCTGGTCAACACTCGTTCTTGACCTCCCGCCTGCATCTGTTCAAGGTCACACGCTGGCCAATGTAGCCTGTCTGCTTCCTGCAGGAGCTGACCACGGACTGAAGCGTCTGAGTGCCCGGGCTGGGTGTGACCAGAAGCCCACTGACACTCATGATTCTCAAAATCCCCACGCCAGCAACTTTTCCACCCAAGCACCCCAAGTTTTTAGAAATAACAGAGGGCGGGGAGGTAGGGAGACGTCACAATGTGACCAAGCGAAGCCCTGAACCACAGAGACGGCGTGTGTTTGAGACGATTTCAGTGACACGCTTCAGTTCTCAGTCTCAGCGATGAGCAACGGACACTTCACCTCCCGTCCACCTTCTTGTGCTCTCTGGACAGTTTTCGAGATCTTCCTTCTCTGGGGTTTCAATGAGATTCGACACAGAAAACAAGCCCCTTGTCCTGTGCCCATCGGCTCCAAAGCCAGCTGTCCGGGCGGAAGTGAGAGCCAAGGGATTTCAGGTTCCTCACACGTGCGTCTGACGTAGACATGGAAACCAGGAGAGCCCTGTCACGGAGTGTCACCTGAGAGGACACACACTGGATGCCAGATCCCGAAGGAGGAGACGGGCCATGGGACTGCCGCTCTGCTTAGAACAGACCTGGAGTCTGGGCTGCCAGCGGCCTCAGATTCCTCACCAGCGGCTGACCCACACCCAGGCCCGGCCGCTGTAAAAGGGACTGTCGGTCCTGCAGCGCGTCTGTTTGGATTCCCAGGTGGACGACAGGCACCCACTGCCCTGAAGGCAGCCATCCCAGGGAACGGGCTCTCTGGGGAATGCCATGCTCCAGTTTGGCATCCACGTGTCAAGGAGGATGTGGAAAAGCTTAGGGAAGACCGAGAGATGATTAAAGGACTGGCAAATGGGAACTTTGAAGATGGGTAAAGGCACTATTTAGTCCAGAGGAAAGATGGCGAGGGAGCGACTTAATCACCATCTTCCAGCCCATGGGGCTGCTCTGGGCAGGTTGGCAGCTGTTTTCCATCTGCTCAGACCAAGAAGAAAGGCACTCGAACTGCAGGCGGAGGTTGGAGCCAGACGCAAGGAAGGACTTCCAAGCTTAAGCTGATGAAGCATAATAAGAGGTTTCAAGTTTCTGAAGCGAAGGAGAAATCTCTTTGAAAAACCTAAGGATTTTCTAGACACATTCACCTCTGAATGTGGCAGAGGGTTAACGAGACGGTTTCTTTTTTGTCCCAAATCCAGGTTACTCCAGTGTTTCTGAACAACCTTACCGACAGATACAACCAATACAGACAGAAAACTTAAAAGGAAAAAAATACTCCAGTTCAGTGTTCACTCATTCAGGGGAACCACACAGCACCACTCACAGCACAGCGCCCGAAAGCCTTGAGGATAAGGGCTTGATACGGTTTGAGCCATTTCATGATTGGATTCCCAAGGGATGGACTTGGCGGCCTCCACATGAACTTCAGGGACACGGACACAGCCTGCCTAAGCACAGTGCTTGTTCTCCCCCAAGACAGCTGACAAATGACCATCACCCCAAGTGTGACTTTGAGGAGCCAAAAAAAAAAAAATCCCACACAATTTCTGACAATCTAAGCAGCCGACACAGCCAGTGCCGAGCCGGGAATATGAGAAAATGGAGTGGGTGCTCGACCTGCGTCCCTGGACCAAGGCACCAGGAGGCTCAGGGGTTGTTACTCCCGTAATAACAGTCATTCCAGATCTGTATAACTTTCCAGAATTTCAAAGCACTTTCTCGGGGTCCAGCACTAATTTGTAGGCATATTGATTAAAGCCGGCACAACCTCTCCTGCTGGCTCAGCAGGCGGAGAACAGAGTGAGGCTAAAATGACTCGCCCTGGGATTCATCAGAAACAGTTCAGATGAAACAGGAAAGAAAAATAGAACAAGGAGAAGAAGGAGGAAACATTTACCAAGCCCTTCCTAAAAACCTCTGCATGTGACCTCCAGGCTCCAGAAACTTCAGCGGCGGCCACTTACTCTGCTGCTCCCCCTGCTGGGCAGGAGGGGCACTGGCCTCTCTCCCTCCTGGGTCACGCTCTGCCTGTTTGCCTCCACCTCCTGCTCCCTTCCTCCAGGTGGCTCAGACTCTGAATGTCCTGAGTGTTTCCTGGCCTGACCAGCCTCCCCTCCTGTCCTGCTGCACGACCTTCCTGGCTCTTATTACCCCGTATTTGCTTCTTGTCTTTCTTCCCACTAAAAGCACACATTTCTCTGTTTTGTTCACTAAACCGTGCCCAGCACACAGCAGGCACTCAATAAATATTTCTCGAAGGAATGCATTCCAAGGGCCTTACATATACGACCTGTGAGAGAAGTCTTTTCAGTTTCTTTCACTAATTCCGATGAAGAGAGGGGGCGGAGAGGTTAACCAACGTTCCCACAACCTCCCAGGAAGGAGACGGCAGAGCCTGAGCCCGAACCAGGTTTGAGGGGCCCAAAGCCCCATCCCGCCTCCGGCTTCAGGGCAGGCCCGGGAAGCCAGCCACACGCTGTCCCTGGAACAGCGGGGGCCAGGCACGTGGGAACATCTCCTTCTGAGAGGAGTGAGGGTTAGAAACAGAGCGAGGGTTAGAAATATATATTTTAATATATTCTCTGGTCATCTGATTTCCCCTCATTTACTTTCATAATTGATGAAAAGAGAAATTTTAGAAGGCTATTTGAAAACCCCACCCACTCATTCATTTGATAAGATAGCTATTAAGCCTCTGTCCATTCTAAGCACGCCTGGAAAACACGTGGTCCACGCCAGCAAGCAGCTACGGGAAACAGCTGACCACGGACCCAGGACGTGCCGGGCCTGATCAGGCTCGAGTGCATTTTAATAAGTGGTATTTTCTTTCCTCCTCAAACAGCGGGAAATCGGAACGCGGCTGTGAATACTGAAAACCTGCCGATGGACGACAGGCTCGCCGCTCACTTCTATGTCCTGTGGGCAATGAACTGGCGGGCATCGCCTGGCACGGGCTGCTGGCGCGCACCCACGAGCCTTCTCTCCGCCTGCAGGGGCCTTTGTCACGACCTCGGTACTCTGCCATTTCCATTCCCGCTTGATACATCTTCCATTATGGTTTTTAAAAATTAAAAAATAATTTCTTGCTCATTTTAAAGAGCAAAATTATGATTCCTGGTCTCACTGTGGATGGCTTTGACAACACCAAGAGGGAACCTTTTTGACAAGCGTATGGATTTTGTCGAGACAGGACTTTTAGCTGGAAATGGGGGATGCAAAACAAAAACAAAAATTCTAGACAGATTCTAGACATCAACTGTAAGGATGCAATGTGTATGCATATACGCTGACAATCTGAAGATAAACAGAATATAAGTGATAATAGCTTAGCTATTTTCCACTTTCTATTAAATTGCTTTTGTTACTAAAAAATGGGGAGTCATGATTGAGGCAATTTTATTATTCACGGTTATATTTATAGACCCTTTAACATAATGGTGGGCTTTCTGAGTAATTTAAGTAAACAGTAACAATGAAAAAGACTGGACACATTTTACATGCGTTGTTTCACTTCCTACATTACCTTTTCATGCAAAGAACATCCCCTGCCATTTTTGTAATTCATCAGAAAAGTAGGTTTTTGCAACAACCAGTATTATTTCCCAAAACATTAGATTATCAACTAAGAGAAGACCTGATTTGGTTTGGGAGAACAGATAAAAAGTCCTGGTGGAGCCCTGGCTGGTTTGGCTCAGCGGTTTGAGCATCAGCCCGAGGACCAAAGGGTCTCGGGTTTGATTCCCAGTCAAGGGCATGTACCTTGGTTTCAGGTTCATCCTGGGTCCCTGTTGGGGGACATGCGGGGGGCAACCAATCCACGTGTCTCTCTCACATCGATGTTTCTCTCTGTCTCTCCCCCTCCCTTCCACTCTCTCTAAAAATTAATGGGAAAAATATCCTCAGGTGAGGATTAACAAACATGAGGATTAACAAACAAAGACCTGGTGGAGTGACAGAACAGCAGGGCCGACACCACAGGACAAGACAATATCCCAACTATCTGACCCGCCTCCACACGTAAACATGCCCGGGGAACATTCTGGCGCCGTGACAGCACGTGTTTGCCAGTTTCTAGTCCACGCGGCCCAAAGGCAGAGCCGGCGAGCGTGCGATCGCGGACACACTTACTGTGGCGTGGGAGATGGTCAGCATGCCGTTCTTGACCGCGCACTTCCTCCTCTGCCACACTTTGCGGATCCTGCAGAGCCAGGCAGACAAGCTGGGTTAGGGTCCGTTCACTCGGGGACATGTGATCACCAGCGTCATACGTAACCATCATGACAGCACAGAACCACCCGAGCCACAGCAGCCACAACGCTTCGGCTGCCCCTCACGCTCCCAGGGGGAAGGGACTCGGGAGGAGGCCTGCCCAGGAGGCTCAAGACAGCACTGGTTCTGGTCTGAGAGCGGGAAACTGCAGGGACGTCTGAGAGCGGGAGGAACGAAAGCACCACGGGCACTTTCATACAGAGCACTCTGCACGAGTTTAGAAGAAGGAAGCGTGTATGTACTCACATGTATGTGACTTGTGTAGGTTTCTAAGGCATATCGCTGATTGAAAAATGCAAGCTGTTTTAAGATAATTCAGGTATGATCCTGTATTGTTTACAAATAAAAACCTCGCCCAGGAGGTCACGGTTTTGATTCCCAGTCAGGGCACATGCCCAGGTTGTGGACTCGATCCCGTGTGGGGTGTGCAGGAAGCAGCTGATCAATGATTCTCCCTCAGCATTGATGTTTCTATCGCTCTCTCCCTCAAAAACACTTGAGACTCTCTGGGTAAAGAAATATGTGTATGAACACACAGAAGAGAGCCTGGAGGGCCTCTCAGAGCCGACAGGAGACTCCTTCCCTAGAGCAGGACAGCAGAGATGGCAAGAAATGTATTGTTTCTCGTTAGAAATGGAAGGGGCTGCTGCTAAGCAGGCTGTGATGGAAGAGGGAAGATAGGAGTCAAGGCTGACGCCCAAGGTTGGGGGCTGGGCGGTCAGGTGGGCACCCCAGGCAGAGAAACCGCAAGGAATAAAAGCGGGGGGTGGGGTGGGGTGGGGGTCAAGAAGTCAGACCACCTGCTTGCTGCACGTCCTCCTCGGTTCCTGCCTTCCTAACACTGCGTGTTCCAAGTCTCAGGTGCCACACAGAGACAGCGAACAGTCACTGCTTCCTCAAGCAGCAGGCTCATCTGGGACTCACTGTAAGTGTCTTTCCCCCGTGGGAGGCGGGCAAAGCCCGTGGGTAATCTGACCTGACGCTCAGGAAGGGAGTGAGGCACCCAGGGCACGAGGAGGGGCTGTACGTACCCGTCACTCTTCTTCAGAAGGTACCCCTTCTTCTCGCTGCCATACTCCTTGTTGCCCTGGAGCTGGTGCATGCTGTACCCCGCCTGGCGGCTCTGGGAGTCCTAGGAGAGACGAGTCACAGGTGAGTCACACGCTGGAGACGCCTCTCAGGTCCCTGCCTCTGCTCTGCCGCTGAGCCTCAGCCCGTGGGCGGCCAGGTCCTTGCCTTTATTTTACAGGAGGAAGCCGGCAGTCACAAGCAAGTTCAAGGCGGAGCTGGGGCCTGGGGTCCGGGCCTCCTAGGGCCAGTTCAGGTCCCAGCTCGGCTTCAAACATGCGGGGGACTATTCTATGGCTACCCCAGTTCACACCGGCAGCCAGGCAGGCACGCGGAGGACCGCAAATCCAAGCCCATGCAACCGGAAGGTGAGTGCTCTTCCCTGGGGGTACCTTTCGTCCCTGCGCACGCTCTGCGGGGTGTGGAACACCCATGATAAGAAGTGCACCTTCTGAGTAAGGTAGTAAGAACTGTTATAAAGTTCTTGCTCTGTAACTAACTAGTGCTCTGCAAAATATACCCACAACCACGCTTTTAATGAAAAAAAGAAAAAGAAAAAGATTCTATTGCAGCGACAAGTGTATTGTGTAATTAAAAGGGTGACAAGGGTCTAGAACAACATGGATGCCAACGAGCTTGACTTAATGTTGGGGCGCCATTGAGCCTCCCGGGGTTTTTGTAAAGATGGCACCACTAGACCGCCGTGACTGGGGAAATGCAGGGAGTAATCTAACGTGGAACTAACTGTACAATGAGAAACGGGTTGCAAACAGAAATAGGACAACACATTCTCACAAACAGCGGTGACTTACTCTCCTAGACTTCGATCAGGAAGGGCAAGAGCAACAGAGAAAAAAGGCAGAACATTTGAAAATATAGTTAATTTCATTGACAGTCTTATCACTCATAATTTAAGCACTTTTTATAACATACAGAGAAAATATTATAAAGGTGACACACAAATTCATATGCACGCATCTTTAGAACCATGATAAACTTTGGCACAATAAAGTATCTATATTAATTAAATTTTGAGTGAGAACAGAAAAAAGGCAAAATAGAGAAACAGGAGGTACACATTCCCAAGATGACACAGTTGACAAACCTCAAAGTGTGTGCACAGAGAATCAGCACCCCAGTGAGACCCAGTGGGAATTACTTAGGAAATCTAAAAAGAGCCACAGCTCAGTTGGTTGGAGCGCTGTCCGGAGCACCAAAGGGTCCCTCCGGGCTTGATTCCCAGTCAGGGCACATACCCAGGTTTCAGGGTCGATCTCCGGTCGGGGTGCGTATGGAAGGCAACCGAATGATGTTTCTCTCCCACATCGATGTTTCTCCCCCTCTCTCTAGGATCAATCAGAAACATAACCTTGGGTGAGGATTAAAAAAAGAAAAGCCACAACAAATTTCAGAAGGATTCTTTTTGTTTTGCTTTTCCGAGTGAAGAGAACTTAATATATCCAGTCCCTAAGCAACCCCGGACAAGGGATGGAGAGGAGGGGGAAGCTCTGAGCCTGGGTGCCTACTGATGGCTGGTGCACAGCAGGCCTGAGGGCAGGAGCCGCTTTCTGGCCTCAGTGAGGACAGCGCTCGTTTAAGGCTGTTCTACATGTGACGAGTTCTGTGCTCAGAAGCGCGTCCCGAACCCCTACAGCCGGGCACCGTGCAGGCCCTGAGGACACTGACCGGGACACAGCCCGTCTCTGAGGCGGGGACTCACTCTCCACTCACTGTGCTCTCCCGAGCGAGGCCACGAGGCTGACTGTGCCTTTCTAGGCAGCTGAGTCTACCAAACAGGTTGCAAACTCCAGTCATTCTCTTAACCCGAGTCACTTCTTTGTCTTTAACCGGCCCGATCCCCTGCAGCTGAGCCTCACCAGGGCCCAGAGCCTGGGACTCCATGGGACTTGGCTGGTGCTGGCCTCCCTGACAGGCGTGCCCAGGCCTCTGGCTGGAGAGCTGACCAAGGGACAGCAGAGAGCAGCCTGCCTCTACAGCGTCCCTAGTGACAGTCCCGGGAACCACAGTAGGGACACAATTAGGATGGAGAATGGATGGGGCTGGAGAGGGTGGGGGCGTGGGACAAAACACGAGGCCAGATACTGCAATCCACAGAACTGGCTGCCTGAACCTGACGAAACCGTCAAAACCGCTCCGCTGTGGGTTTGGACTCGGGGATTTTCGCCATCTCTCTGCCTCCAGAACATGAAGCACAAAATGGAAACTCTCCTTGGATCCCAATTCTTATTAAAAGTTGGCCCCCTTTCACCAAACTGCACTTCTCTGTGTCTGCCCACGTAATTCCTGCTCTGTCGGGATTTAAAATTATGATTTTTTCATTTGCATTTAAAAATTATGTCTCTCCAAGCTCAGTCCATTTGCTAACCTTTAAAATAAGTCCTATGCTTAAAAAATGAAAGCGCTTACATATTTAACAAGAATTTAGATGCTGATAACTTAGGAAAACTACTACATCCTGTAAATGTGCCATTAAGACTTCCCTTACTTATAATTATTACAAGCCTAAATACACTCTAGATTCTGGACAACAAACATATCGCATGGGCCTTGCTTCACATTAGACAAAGATGCTTTTAAAGGTAAAGGAAGTGGCTGAACTCTAGGCTTTGACCTCAGAACATTATTCCATTAACCCAAACAGGGAAGAAGCAATATATTTCAGAAGTCTAGCATGAAGCAATCCCTAATTAACTGCTAATGAGTTTTATGGCTTAAGAAAGTCATACAAACGATGCTTTCTGCACTTTGAGAAATAATGGTCATTCAGCTTGAGTAGCAGGGCACACCAGATACATGAAAAGAGGGTTTTCTTTTCTGAGAAAGAAAACCTTGGAGAACTGTTAACACTAAATGAAAACAAAAGAAAACAAAATTGAGGGAATGAAGTAGGTTCTGAATCCTTTGCCAGCGTAATAAAAATCAACATGTATTCAGGAAAGAAAATGCAAATGAAAAAAAATCATTCAGGCAAAATGAAACAAAACTAAAAACAATGAATTTAAAATAAAACCTTGGGGAAATTGCATGAGGTGAGCCAAGAAATGTAAGCTGTAGAATAAAACACGGTATCATTTTTTAGTTCAATTTCCCATTCTCTGTTAGCAGCACAGATTACCTGACTTTATTAGAAAACCTCTAAATGCATTATTAAGGAGAAAAATCTCCAGTCTTTTTAAACTGCAAGCAATTACACACTCATTGGTTTAATGGGGTCCTAAGAGTTTCTGGCACCTGATTTGAGGACAGACCTCTGTTAGGGGAGCTTCATCTCTACTGTATGAATGGGGCGGGCACAGGCGTCCTTCTGTCTCCGTGTACTAAATATTTACCGAGCAGCTTCAGTGCCCGGCAGTGTGCCAGGTGCTGTGAGGACAGATGAGCCAAGCCCAGGATCTGTCAGACACCTGCAAACCCCAGGACGGTGCGCTATCGAGAGGGGCTCACACAAAGCTGGGGGTTTGGGGATGATTTATGGACATCATCTTCAAAAATAAAACATTTTCATCTCAAAAAATACTCATGTAGCAAACAGTTCTTCGGGAGGCTGTGCTACTATAAAAGCTCAAGATGCCTAATTCCATAGGACATCTGCCATCAGTCATTAGAGAATTTTATTTTCACGAGGAAAAAAAAATGAGTCTACCCCAAATCTGGGAGTCCTAGTTACAACGCAAGTTCTTGAGGCTTCCTTGAACTGAGTGGAGTTCGAGCCTGGTGGTGGGGTGAGGCTGCTTAGTGATTTCTTGGGCCTTACTTTCTCGGCCAGTCTTTAGATGACTTTAACCGGAGAACTAGGGTGAGAAATCTCTGGCCGAAAACCTCCTTTCATGTTTAACGCAAATCATTAAAAATCACTACCTTCTTAACATAGCTTGCAACTAGAGGTGATAAACAGCATGAGAATGGACTAGGCATGCTGTGAGAGATCAATTTTACTTGTAAAATACTCTGGACACGGTGCTAATGAAAACTCATCATTGAGCGATTTGGCACGAAGTTAAAATCAATCAAGCCGTGTGTGTGCATTTCCGCATGTGCACACTCCTTTGGCTTGTACTGGTATGCAACTTTTCCTTTAGTTATTAGCATGAGCAGAATACACCGGTCTCTATGAACAATAAAGAGCCTACAATAGCTTCTTTAATTTTTCAAGAAAGCTTCCATATGTAGGAAGTAATCCGTGTGGCAAAAGGAAGTGGTTAAGTACATACCAGTCAGTACAAAACCTTGCAGATTTCTCTAGACAGAGATCTACCTCTTCCCCCCACAATCTGGATCTTTCTATTGCTCTTATGCTGAGCAATCGCACCCTCAAGGCGGCCTGCAAGGCCAGTGCAGGTGCTGGCCGCGGCTCTGCATGATGTGAGCGCACAGCACACACGTCACCCGGCACGGACACCTGTCCACAGGTGAGCAGGGGCCCAGTGTTAAAGGGCTATGGCCTCCTCTCACTTCACAACACCCAGCGAATGTAAAAACTGGAGGCAGAAGCAGCGAGGGCTCCAGTGGCCCAGTGAAGCACCTTCAGGATTGGGGCGCGGGACCAGGGGTGTTGGGCAGGCTTCCCATGCTCGAGGGGGCTCACTCCGTTTTGTTTGGACTCATGAACACCTTTCAGAAATTTCAGGAGATGACAAATAGTTGGCCATTGTGAGATAATATCATGAGGAATTAAAAATATTAAAAATGCTATATTTTGTAATTATTAAATATTGCATTTAGAGATCACACTTAAATTCAATGCGTAATAATTTCACGATCCAAACAGGCACGTTTCCACCTTCTCCATGTGGCAACTGGGGCTATTTCACTTACTCTCAGCTCGAAGCCCATACCCTCCAGTGGGCATCCCGGGTTTTCTGCCCAGAAACCGCATCTCACGCCTCCACCCACCTTATCCCAAACGTCGCCCGCTGACGCTGCCCGGCCGTTTTGCATCTCTGCAGCTTCCTCTCGCTGGCATCTCTCCTACAGTATCCACGCCACTTTAGGTACAACTCCTTGTTCACACGGCTGACACTCTCCACTTTCTACCAGATGATGACCCCCTTAACGGAAAGGACTAACGCTTACTGCCTAGCACAGCTGCTGGCACATTGTAGGTACTAATTAAACGTTTGCACAACAAATACGATTTATGATTAAGGATCTGAGCAGTCATCTAACAGCTACCATGCTCCGTATACTCCACCTCAGTATCCAAAGACTCTCACCTCCTTTTTCCTAACTGGGGGGCACAACTTCTATAGGGCTGTACCTCAGACTATTTCTCTATTCCTCTGCCCCACCTGCGGCTGCCCGGAAAGAGAGACGAGCTAAGGAGCACAGGGGTGTGCGCTGCCCTGCCTCTCCCTCTGCAGTCGGAGAAGACACACGCCTGAAACACACATCTGCAAAGCCAGGACAGAAAGCCGAGCCACGGAGCGGTAGGCCGGGGCTCAGGACACCTTTTCTGTAGGAGGAAAGGGAAATGAAACACGGCTTCTAGCCTGGGCAGTGCAGTAGGTGCACACGTGTCTGGTGTCTCCCCTGTCCCACCCCACCCTGGCAGGAAGCTGTCAGCACCCCCGTTGCAGGTTGGGAGGCACCCACACCCCACCAGGAGCCCCGCCTGCCCGGCCGGCCCTGCTGGAGACACTGAGCACCTACTTCTTTCTGATCGAGCTGAAGAGAGGATTTTATTAAGTCCCGGAGGGCAGTGAGCTGTTTCTTTTCTTCATCCTGGGTTTGTTTTATCTACAAGAGAAAAAAATTACTTCTGTCACTTATGTTTTATATGTTTATGAACAGCGTTTCATTCACCCTGATATACCACACATCGAACTACTCAATGATATAGCCGATTTCCTTACTCAAATCCTTCACATGGTCTCATTTTTTATATAAGAGGCACAATTTTCTCATCTTATGAAGGTTCCAGTGGGTTTTGAAATGAGTGAATAATGCAACATGTTTTCTTATTAAATAATACCTCTAGGCTAGATAATTAAAGTTCCACTTTAAACAAAGTTAAGAAATAACATGGAGTCATTTGCTTCTGGTTTTTCCAAAGGCGGTAGTGATACCACGATGACCTTGAAGGCCCAGAAGAGAACCGGGGACTGAGGACCAAACCCATGGGCCCACGCACATGCAAGGGCACAGAGCCCTACCCGAGGGCAAAGGCTGGCTGCTTTGTAAACACGGGAACCTGATCACAACCAGAACCACGTTCGCTAAAAGAAAAGCAGGGAAAGTACACAGCTATATACTTTCTAAAGTTATACAAAGACACACGGTATTATCTGTAACGCTAAAAACCTCATTGGAACATATGCAGTTGCACTCATAAAACATATACTTTCAATACGATTCATTGCCAAGTGGTTTATGGGAATAAAGGTTGACGTTTATACATATGCATTTAGTATTTTTCCTCAAAGAAGTTTTCCGTTTGCTCTTGCTATTATAAAAGCAAAACCTAAATATGAGAAAAAAAGAGAGGAAATATAAAGCAAGCCAGCCCCCCAAATTCATAAACTTAGGCAGTCCATTTTATCCTTTCACGACCAAAACATTCCTTTTGCGATTGCTGACGGAAGGGCACTGTGATGTGACTGAACCCTGAACAGAGAGTCATCTAGAAGCAACCGTTAGACTCTCCTCCCCGCTCCTCCCATGCTCCCCAAACACACTCTGGAACATTCCATCACTGATGTCTGAGTCAAACTGAAGGTTTACCTGTCTTTATTGGACTCATCACTTAACTGGTCTTCTTGTCTTTAATACTCTTCTAATACAGATTTCACATTTCCTGATACTTATCTACAGAGCAAGTTAAACGCATGTATTTTATAAAGAACTTACATTATATAAGTCAGCAGCCAGTTTTTCAATGTACTGTTTCAATTTGTCAGCCGTTTTCAAGCCATCTTGAAAGAAACTACAATGGAAAACATCAGAGACTTACCCGCAGTACAAAAATGAAATGAACCATAATTACCTAAAAAATCCAAAAATACAATTTACCCTCTTACCATGTATCGACACAAAACACGTACAAAACGGATTTCAGTGTTTTGTAAAAGATGTGCCAACAAACACGCCTGGGCGCTACTGACAAGTGCCAGCAGACATCACACAGACAATGCACTGCAGTCGCTGTCCACACAGTGGCCTCACGCTGTCACCACACACGGAACAGCTCCCCTGGTTGTGCCTTATTTGAGCTCAAAAGAGAGAAGAGGACACACTAACTAGTGGGGTGTCATGGACCCTAACTGGACACTCTAAGGAGAGGTGGATGGGACTAGAAATAGAGGCTGGAGGAAAGTCAGTGCCCACATGTCCCAAGTCCCCACACGCACGTGAGGCACGGGATGTGGGGTCAGGGCACCGATGACCCGGAAGGCTTTATCCTACCACGGACATAAGAGGTGCCTTACTGCACCCTGAGGGGTAGCAAGCCTGGCATGGCTGAGCCCTGACCACACGCCCAGCACGCTTGGCACTTCACATAAACTGTGTTTTTTTTTTAAAAAAATATATATTTCTTTATTGATATCAGAGAGGGAGGGAGAGGGAGAGAGAGATAGAAACATCAATGATGAGAATCAGTGATTGGGCTGCTTCCTGCATGCCCCACATTGGGGATCGAGCCCACAACCCGGGCATGTGCCCTTGGCCAGAATTGAACACGGGAAACAGGTACATTTTCACGTAAAAATTACCAGAAAGCCCACAAAAGCGAACCCGGAAAGGAAACAAGGAGTGAAAAAGCAAATGTGGTGTCGCAGAGCCTCAAACGTCATAAACAGGGGGCCTGGCCACGCGAACAAACAAAAACGGGGACCGTGGGCGCCTCTCACAATATTCCAGCAACCCAGGCACAAGTGCAGTGTTCCTACTGCCCGAATGATGGCGTTCGCCTAATGTAGATGGTGAGAAATATCACAAAACCCCAAGCAGGAAAATGCGGTACAAATGACGCCGTCACCGGTGAGATGCCGAGGAAGGAGGGAGGGAAGCGGGGCACTGGGAAGGCTTCTCCAGTGACAGGGACAGTGTCTGTAGGAGGGGCCGCAAGGCCGTCACAGTAACGCCAGCCTTTCTGAGTTGCAGCGTTTCCAGGAGCCAAGCAGTTGCAATAATATGAGTGGCTGATTGATAGAAAACACTGACTACGGACAAGACCACTCACTGCATATGATCTGGCTGTGGGAGGCCTTCATATCACTATGCAGTGACCGAACGAAGACCAGAGGAAAGAAGCAAGAAAACCCAAGTGCGGGCCCTTCCTCGGCTCCGAGTCACCACGGCCACCTGCCACTTACTTGCACTGCGCGTGGTAATACTTGATGAGATTCTGCAGCAGGTCCACGCCCTTTTTGGTCTTGATCTCGTTGACTTTAATGAGATACTGTGGGAATAAAACAGAAGTGGATGCTGTCATTGCCGACAGGGCTCTCCGGGCAGGGTTTCGGGGGGCAGCCCCCAGTGTGAATCTGCACCAGGTACTGGCCTCGGCTATCTTCAGGGTGTGTGATCGGCACAGGCATGAGTAGACATTGGTTAGCATGTCAGCATGTTATAAACACCCGTGATTAGTTTCCTAGACAAGCAGAAATCAACACAGCAAAGCATCCTGGGATAGCTGACTTATTTCCTCTGGTGCAGTGGCTCTCAAACTTAGGGTTCACGGGGTCAAGACCTGCAAGATGGACGATTCTTTGCTGAAAACAAGGGAATCAGCGTTCTCTCGAAGGGACATGCCATGAGGCATTAAAACTTTGAGACCAAGGAGGCAAGTTAGAATTTTTTCTACTAAAAATGAAAGGATGAAAACAACGCATTAACTTATGCACCAAACATCACGAGCTCTGATTTTCACAACTGGCCGAGGATTTCTGCCAACATTGTTTGCCTCTTGTTCACGTGTCTCATTGTGTGGGAGTGTTCATGAGCAGACAAGTTTAAGAAGGAGCCAAAGGTTTATTGGGGTGGGGGAAAAATTAAGGAAGGAAACCTTAAAAGTGAGAAAATCCTATCCATTTTCATAGTTTCCCAAAAGCACAAAAGGAATCCCATGAGTCAGTGTCAATGTCGGAAGGAACTGGTCTCTCGGTCAAGGACGCCGGTGTCCAGTGGGAACACAGTTTGAGAACCACTGCTCTAAGTTGAAGGCAGCATGCTTTTCGTTGCATTTTTTTCATGAACTCAGAGGCTTTCTCAATGACCCCTGCATTTAAGCTTTCATTCAAACTAGACACAGGGTTAAAAACAAACAAACATGCTCTACACCTGTACCAGTAAAACCTAAGATTCACCCATGTTACCAAAATTTGCCTTTCCACACTCATTCACAGGCAACAGTGAAGTTCTCACCAAAGAATCCTGCTTTGGCTTAGAGCCCCACAGGCCCCAGGCTCAAAACAGGAGGCAACAGTGACAGGGACGATCCCAAAGGCTTGGAGAAAAATGAGATTAGAGTCCTTAAGTAACTGTCCCTCCTCTCCTGGTCAGACACAGCCTCTCAGGCAGGAAGGCTGCTGCCCGCAGGAGGGCCCCGCTAACGAAACTGGGCGAGGGGCTGAAGTCCCTCCGCACCTCGCACATCTGCAGCTGGAAGAGGCGCCGCTCCTTCTCCATCTCCTCCGCGATCTCGGCCCCCGTGATCTCCGTGCGGATCATCCCGTGCTGCTTCGCATGCTCTCTCTTCTCCTTCTCAATTTTTGTGCTGGAATGGAAGCAGATGCCACCATTAACACACACACGCACATGTACACACACACACACACACACACACGCATGCACGCACAGCTTCCTTTCGATGAGAACCACGTGATCACAAGCGTTAACATGCAGGATCATCTAAGAACTCTATGTTCTAGGACCGTGGTGGCAAACTGCGGGCTCTTTGGCCCCTTGAGTGTGGCTCTTCCACAAAATACCACGTGCGGGCGCGCACGTACAGTGCGATACCACGTGC